CCGGGAGTGTATTTCCATTTGGTTTTCGGTTTGATTTTTGAGATAGAAATTTGATTTGAGCAGCGGAAGCAGAAGTGGAAGCGTCAACGGAAACGGAAACGGAAACATCGACGGAAGCGGAAGTGCAAGTAAAAGTGAAAGTGAAAGTGAAGTGCAATGCAATGGCGCCGTGATGCGATCATCTACACACGCACACTTACACTGACTCACACACGCACACACTGGCCAAAAAAAACTCTAGACAAACAAAAAAAACGTACATGAAAAGTCACTGGAAAATCGGAAAATCGGAGGCGTGGCAATGCCTGTCACGTTGCAGTCGTTCGACGTGACTTTCGAATTTTCCACATTTCCAAAAGGGTTTCCATGTGACCTAAAGCAAGCCGGAAAAGTGGGAAAAAACGTCCATGATTTAATTTTAGATTTACAGAGAAATAAATCAATGCCATTTGGTATGGGAGGCTAAATAAAACTATAATTAGGGCTGAAGAAATACCATTATATCGAAAAGAGAGCATCTGAAGTGCAGTGTTCTGATGAATGTAAAGAAAAACGTAGAACTTACCCTCAACTTTTGTTTGCTTGATTTGTTTTTATGTATGCCGCTTGTCGTTTGATTCCTTTGCATCTTAGCGAAATTGGTTTCCTTTTACTTTCCCCCGCCTTTTGTTCTTTCTCCCGATTGTGTTGCCGTGTTTATTTTAGCATTCGCAACCACCCAACACATATATCTATTGTTATTCGGTCTTTTTGTACCTAAGGCCAACTTTGATAACACACTTTTCTTCTGCAAATGGCAGCTGCGGAAAAGCCAGCGGTCGGGGGAGAAAATGGTGAAAATTCGGCCGCAACTGAAATCGAGATGAAAACATAGCAGTGAAAAGTGGAAAGCAATTTCCCAGTCACGAGGCCACGAGGTCGAATCCAATTTTCGCCCAGCTTTTCGCCTGGCAACAATTAACAAGCCATCGAATGCAAATAAACCAATAGTAGAACAACAAATCGCAAAACGGGCAACGTGTAGAGTTACATTCCACCGACCTGACCCGACATGACCCATAATGCCCCCATTGACATCATTAATGACACCCAAAGTGTCCTCCATTTGTGCCGAACAAGCCGAGAAAAGACGAACGAATTTTCGGGGGTTGTCTTGCTCTTGGCTTAATACAAAGCAAATAGCCGTGGCTAAAAGGAAAATGCCTGCAAAGTCCACTGGCAAGCTGCCCGAAAAGGGAAAACGGCGAGAAGAAAATGAAGTCGAGTACAACGAAAAACGATGCGCAACAAATTCAAATGGCAAGATAGAAAAAATGTCAAGTGTTCTTCTTGACACGGGAAAATGGAGGGAAAATGACACTTGGGTTGGGGGCATATAGAGTGACAGCCCGTGGAATGGGCTATAATAATACATAGCAATGTATATACATAAGGCCATGAATTAGTCACAGGCGAAATGCTGTCCCTCTGTGTGACAGATAGTACAAAGATGTCAGGCCAAACAACGCACACTTGACACATTTTTTATGATTTTAAAGGATGCACAGCTGAAGTGGCTAGATCTTTTTAAAGGGCTCCATCACACGTTCATATTGGACAATAATTCCAGTCATAAATCTTCCACAAAAAGGATTCTATATCTGAAAACATGGTATCTTAGCATAAAAAGTGGCTATAGAAATTTACACATTTTAAAGTCAAAATCGCCTTTATAATCCAGTTCTCTTCTGACAACCGGTTGAATATGTTGGCTTGCCCTTTTTCCCGGCTGATCCGACTGTCCATTATGCTGCGAGTCATTTGCCAAACGTCGGGCCACTTTATGCTAATGCAATGTTGCGTGATCCTTGAAGGAATTGTCATCGCCACTGGGAACTGGGAAGTGGGAACTGGGACTGGGTTTTGGGTGGGGCTGGCTAATGGCTAATGGATTTCCGCGACGCATCAAAACATAAAAAGCGCGCCAGATGAGTTGGTTGAAAAGTGGGCGACCTTTGGTGGTGTCCTTTAAATGGGCCAGCCAATCCCGCCCAGTCATGTGGCCCGAACTGCATTGTTGGCCAAAACTACAGGGTCATAGCCATGGTCACAAGCACTTCTTTTTGTTGTGTAAGCGCAAATCCTTGTGGCCAGAAATTGAAAGGATGGTTGGATGAGTGTATGACACAGCAGGACTGAAAGCAGGATTAGCGGCTCTCATAATTAACGCTGAATGAATGAAAAACAGCCGCAGGGAAGGGATTGACAAGCTGGCCTAACGTCATTATTAATTAGCAGTATTTAGATAGGTTTAATTTAATTTGTTATACATTTATTGCGAGCAACCACAAGCCAAACGATAAATTATTTGCCGAGCAAATAAATCAAATTAACTCTGATGCATTTAATTATCCCTTATTTGCCAATCAAATTGTGCTTCTATGGAATTATTTTTATTTGATTGCAGCAGGCGAAATACGGGCATATTTATTTATTTGCTGCCTGTACAAATTTGAGTAAAACCTGAGGTTTATTAATTCAATGCTTACACCTGCAATTCCACCGCTGCATTTGCGGTTCCCGTGCCGAAAATGGCATTTAAATTGCTGCACAAGTGAGGCCGCACAAATCAACACAATCGCATCTCAATTTGGGGCATGGCAAATGTTTGCACCAACCACACATATCATCGCCAGCTGCATTTGGCCCAAACACTCAGTCGCAGTACAAGAATTGCCTGAAAACTTTGGAATAATTTCCCTTTTTTGGCATACCGATAAGATATATTGCTTGCTTATAAAAATACACCTCTTCAGCTTTAAAGTATCATTTAAATGCCAGTTTCCATTTATCGCTATAAGAATTACACGTTTATAGAAGTGAGTGCACTCCAGCTGCTCAAGTACCCAGGCCATTAAATATCTTCAGTTGTGAAGGACCTCTCTGGTGGCGATTTGCCTGCCGTAGAGCTTCTCCGATTATAGAACATCATATATATTACATGGCCGGGTGTCAGTTGGTCTGATTTGTTTGCCTTCGCCGGCTTGGCAAGTGGCCATTACAAGTGGCAAGATGAAATAGTTGCCGGCCAGCTTCTGGGAGGGCCACAAGCGATGCCCATCAATTTGGTTGTTTGTGTTTATTTTCGTGTTCTTTTCCTTTCTTTTTTGCCCCATGTTGCCCCATGTTGCTGCATGTTGCTGCCGTGCAGTTGCAACACGAGCTGCTGGCTGGGTGGATGAAAAATGAACCGGCGGTATGTTATTTGTATGGGACAAGCGAAGGGGATCAGAAACAGCAGCTGGCTCAGCGGCAGCAAAGTGACCCAAATGGCATACGGTGTGGGGCGGTTTAACTGGCCTTAAAGAATATAAAATATATATTGCATATCCGCGGGGGCTGTGCACGCAGTTTTCACGCACACACACGCACAGCTGCCGGAAAATCGGAGCGAGCCGAAATCCAGAGTCGTAACCACAACCGCATGGTCGGCGGTCTCAGGACCTCAGGAGCCTGCGAAAGAAACTTGCACAACCGCTGGATACCCTCCAGCGCAAAATTGCAAGCATTTCCAATTGTTAAAACGATAACGTTATATTAGTTTGGATTTCAAAATCATTTTGAGCAGTAATTGATTGGTGCACGAAGTTAGCGCTTTCCAATTATATGAGTAAAGCTTATTTTGGAATATTTCTTGAAATTCTTAAGTAACCCCCGCAATGTAGGGTATCAAAGCCGCAGAGAAGCAGTGCGAACAAGCGATTTCATAGCCTACTTAGCGGCGCGCGCTGCGAGTTATTCAAATTTGAATTAGGCAGGGCCACCGTTTTATGGCTTTCACTGTCTGTCTGTCTGTCTGTCTGCGTGTGCGTGTGTGTGTGTGTGTGCGGTCGTATGTTGTGTGTGTGTGCGTGCTCCTTGGGCGGCTGGAAAGGACCCGAAAATATGCAGCATCTGCGTGGTAGACGGCCAAACTTGCGGCATAAAATGTGTGGCACATGTGTGACGGGCACGGTGAGCGCTCCTTAATTAGATCATAGTTCCCATCTTGGCGCAGGGCAGCATTTTACTGCCATCCCGCTGAAACACGAACACGGACCAGCAACCAGAGCACAAAGAGCCCAAGGAGCAGTAGCATCATCGTCCTCATCAGTGTACAGTGGGGCCAAGAGAGCACGAATCTGTCATCCAAAAAGATATGCAAATGAATTAGTTTAGGTACACAAAATCCCTAATCAGTAGTTACTGATTATTGTTGCATTCTAATGTTTTAGGGCTACCCAACTCATGCAATTCCCTTGCCCTCTGCAGTTCCCTATTACTTTTGACCCACTGTCCCTGGGGTGGGGAGATGTGGCACATTATTGACTCACGCGCCGCATCGAATTTCCAACTCAATCATGGACAGAAAGTTGATGGCGGAAAAAGGAAGTGGGTGGGTGGATGATGGAAGGGGAAAATGGTAAATGCGAAATGGGAAGTGGGAAATGGGAAGCTTCGCCTGCTTTATGACTGGCAACTCACGCGACGCCACTCGCCATCGTTTACGGTATTTGCATTTTAATTGAATTGAACTAAATTATTTTGTTTAGAGTTGAAGGAATTGCCAGCCATTGAAAGCCCCAAAGAAGGCAACAGTTTTGCGAGAATGTAAAAGCCACAAGCCGCTAAGAAGTTGAGTAAAACTTTGACATAAGACTCTGGCCGCAGGAAGAAAACGAGATTGTCAGTGGAAACTTTTCTATTCGATGGGAGCAGGGCTCTATACACCGCTGCTGATTGGTGGGGAAGCTTTCCAAACTAAAATCCCAAGTGCCACCTAGAAATTAAGAGTTAAGTCGCCGCAAAAGTGAGAAGAGTCTCAAAGTTGTAAATAAAAGAATCTACTTCTGCGTAAGCAGCTGCTCAGAACATCTTTAAATGACGTGATTGCCGGAACCTAGTGAAATTGGCTTAAAAGAAATTAATTTGAAGCACTCGGGACTGACTTGAGTTTATGAAACGTATAAAATGCATTGCAGATGAGTTCTGCGAGGAGTATCCGCACAATCTGATGCCCACGCCGGGTTACTGGATCGAGTGCTCCCGCCAGAAGATCACCATGCCCACCCCGCACACCATTTGGGATGAGAGCGACTCGGAGCACGAGGACATCCGGGCAGGAAGTGCCAGCGACGCCTATCTGGAGCGGGAGTGCAGCGATCTGTACGAGGATGACGAGGACTCCGAAGCCACGCCCAGGTGAGTGGAGCTCCTCCCAGCATCCCAGCACTAGATGGCCCAATACGTACTCAGAATACTAATCCTCCCTTGCGAACACCCGTGCAGTCCGCGCAAGAAGACCACCATCGAGGAGCAGTGGGACCAGCAGGGCGCCTTCGAACTGATCTCCGTGGAGCAGGAGACGTACGAGAAGTACTTCTACGGCACCGAGCACTGGAACTACTTCACCAGCGACGAGGACCTGGGTCCGGTCATCCTGTCCATCAAGCAGGAGACGCTCAACGGACGCGATCAGTTCCGCATCCTGGTTCGGGCTGGATCCTACACGGTGCATGGACTGATACCGGCCTCCTGTGTGTTTGCAGATAGGTAATATTTTGATATATTTTTATATGTTTCGATATCAAACGAATCGATATATTTATTCCAGATATAATCGCGAGGAAGTAGTTAGATCTTTAGGTAAAGAAGTTAATTTAAATCCACCTTTAACGTTAGGACAATTACCCGACACGCCAGAGGAATTATTAAAATTAGATCAGGTGCGCTTGAAATCTCCTTGAAAATGAAATACATTTTACTTAAATCCATCTTTGGCGCTCGATAGGTTTTTATAAAATCAGAGTTAAAAGTTGGCGTCATATTTGTCAAAGAGGATCAGTATACCGAAGAGCAAATTCTGGACAATAATGAAAATTCACCGCTCTTCGACGAGTTCCTCACCCTTCTGGGCGATCGAGTTCGGCTGCGCGGATTCGATAAGTACAAAGGTGGCCTTGACACGGTGCACGACCTGACAGGTGGGCTTAAACCCGAATGGATGATAGCATTCACATGACATGTGCTTACCCATTTTGGAATCCTCAATCCCTGCAGGTCTCTTCTCCGTCTACACGAACTGGCGCAACATCGAGATCATGTTCCACGTGTCCACGCTGCTGCCCTACGAGAAGCACGATCCGCAGAAGCTCCAGAGGAAGCGCCACATTGGCAACGATATCGTCTGCGTGGTCTTCTTGGAGGCGGATAACACCCGCTTCAGTCCCGCCTGCATCAAGAGCCACTTCCTGCACACCTTTATCCTGGTGAGTGAATGAATCTATCGGATACACGACTCAAGCTGATTTGCTGCATACTCACCCAAAGATGCTGATGCTCTGCCTTTTCCCTTTGCTAGGTGCGTGTTTCCGCCAGGATTAAGCACAAGCCCACGCGATACGAGGTGTCCGTGGTGACCCGCGACGAGGTGGGTGCCTACAAGCCCTATTTGTGGGAGCAGTCCGTCTTCGAGAAGGGGCCGATGTTCCGGTGAGTGCTGCAAAAAATCCCCAGCCCCCAAAACGAAAAAACGCAATGCCCGCCTTCCATTTCCATTCTTGCCTTTCCACAGGGAATGGCTGCTGACCAAGATCGTGAATGGGGAGAGAGCCTCCTATTCGGCTCCGAAATTCGCGCGAATGCAGGAGCGGACGCGGTCGCAGATGCTCGAGGATCTGGTGATGAATCTATCGAACCATGCGGAAACTGGACAGATACCGAAGCCATACAGACGCGGCAGTTGGCGACCGATCGGTGAGGATGAATATATCAAAATGTTGCATGCCCGAGTCCTAGACAACAACACACACCACGAGCAGCAGCAGCAGCAGCAGCAGCAGCAGCAGCAGTTGCTGCTGCAGCGGCAACAACACACGCCACACTTGCCGTCGCACCACATGTGCTGCTATTGCAACAACAGTGCCACTGAGCTGCAAGCAGCGCCTGCAACACACAACAATAATGACAAATACACCACATCCACACACAGACACAACAACAGTTATTACTCTGCGCAGCAGCAGCAACAACAACTGCCACAACTGCCACAGCAGCAGCAACATGCAAGCCAGCAGCAACAGCAATTGCTGCAGCCACCACAACAGCAACTGCAACACCAACTGCAATTGTCGGCGTCGCCACTCACACACACGTCGTGCTGTGCCATGTTGCACCTGTGTGCGAGGCATAGTATGTGTGCCACGCCCCACGCCCACGCCCCGAACACACCCCAACTTTCTTGCGACCCGCATGTTTTTGCCTGACTTAGATAAATTACTTTTCAATATTTACACTTTCCTTGGCTTCCACAAAAAAGCAAATGAGATACGCAACTTCTTTGAAACCAACTCCAAAAAGTGTAGGCCAATTCAACGAATTAATAAATGCTACTACTAACTAACTTAGATTGCAAAGCTAAACGTATTTGTTTTCTTGCATTACAAACGCCAGTTTAACGGAATTTTATTAAATTTCACACGAGATATGCAATTTACATTGTAGTAAATGACACATATGACATTCGAAATCAGTAGACTCGAAAGAAAATCCCCAGCTACTTGCGCGCATTTTCTTACGACGGATTTTCTTAAAGCGGATCGCCTAGATTCTGAAAAGCCCAGCCCCTTCAAGAAGATTTATAAACAAATCGCGAGAACAAATTGCAGGCATTACTGGCAGCCCAAGGAGAAAAATTGAAAATAGAAAAAAAGGACATTTGCATTTGCTCCTTTGTGACACGGTTTCTGTGCGTGAATGTTTGATTAATCGTTTTGTCTCGGTTTCGGTTGAACTTTCGCCCGCGAATGGGAAAAGGGGAGGGTTGGAGGGTCGAAAGGGCGGAAGGGGAGAGAGCGAGAGCAACACACACTGACACTTCCGTTTCCGCCATTAACACATCCGGCTGTGCTTGTGCCCACCGGAAGCGTGCAGTCGTTGCTCGAAGCAATCTCAGTTTTGTCTCCCGCTCTGCCCCCCTCCGCTCTATCTGCTCTGAACTTTAACCCCCGACATGGACAATCTGCTCGTCCCTTATCTACGCACACCGACACTTGTCCGGCGAAGAAATATTGTTCATGTTTGTGTTATTTTATCAGTGGGGATATCTATTGTTCCAGCCCCCTCCCAGAAGCCACCCGCCGCCACCAGACACCACTCACCCAATGATGTTGTTCGTGTTGCTCTCCATGTTGTTGTTCTCCATGTTGTTGTTCTCCATGTTGTTGTTCTCCATGTTGTTGTACCTCATGTTGTTGTTGTTGTGGTGGTGTGTCGTGGCTGTTGCTGTTTGTTGTGATTTTGTTTGGATTTCTTGTTATTTATTTGTTGCTATTTGTTGCACTAGACAACAGAAATCTAATTTGATTTATTCATGCACACCCACACAAAAGTACACGCACGCACACTCACACGCACACGCACACCCACAACCGAACACGCACACTGAGAAAATCCGGCAGTGATCCCCAATGGAAACTATCCGCATTGGAATTATGCAAATTACTGCTCCAATAGTTTGGCATTTCCATTTCAATGCGATTGGGGAGCTGCATAAATTGCGGCTCACACACACACACACAGCTGGGGTCAGAATCATAGAAATGGGAGAGCAGAGACCAATGCACAGCTTTAAAAAGGATTCATAACTAAAGAGCACATTTTTCATTAAATAGTCTAGAAAGTGTATGTGAAGAAATGAAAGAGGTGTCTATTTAACCGAAGAAGTTCTCAATTATATGCCAATCGAGTGCTTATGGAACTCAAATCCAATTGAAACAATTTGATTGTGTATGCCTATGGCAAACAGCTACATAAATTCAACTCGAAATGTAATAAAGCATAACAATATGGGTGTTTCGGAGGCTTTGAGGTAAATGAATGGAATAGGCATATGTGAGAAACTGACAAGGCTCTTTTCCTTTCTTGCACAACATTTTAATATAATAAAATCCATACTTCAACTGAACTCTTAGGCAAAACGAGCATGTTGGGTGCATGATTTTGAACTTTTAAATACATTTTTTTCAGCGAATATGTCCCAAAGATGTAATCAATGTTCTTCCAACAGGGAAAGAGTTGAATAAATACTTATTAAATTGGGAAACCCCTCTACACTTTTCGCAGGTCACATGCGACCCTCGTCGCCGCTGCTGGATTCCGTTCGCGATCAATTCGAGGACTACGATCAGTTGGCCAAGGACTTTACCCGCGTATTTCTAAATGAAGAACCATCGTGCCTGACCAACGCCCATCTCTTCGATGTCGTTTTCCTGGTGGGTCAGTCCAAGCAAAAGGCGCGATTCATTGGAGTTCGAGCGATTCTCGGGGTGCGGAGTCGAGTATTTCAGGTGAGTTTCACAGGGTGTAGCTACAAACTGAAAACCATGGACAACGGTGGGTATGAGTGATGAGCAGAGACCACGGGGCGTATGAGTGATGATCAATGACAAGGGGGCGTATAAGCGATATATGCAGACAACAGTGCGTATGAGTAATTAAATGGGTTTATAAATATTACACATACGCACGGTGGGCCCTATTTACAGCTCACTTACGTTTGACCTGCAAACTACTAATTACTGTTCCATTAGGTGGCTAGCAAAAATATTGATTTTGTCAGGATTATTGCAATGGTATTACCTTTTTCAGGAAATGCTATATGGCATTCAGACCGGCTTCGGATCGCCGCAGATCCCGGTCGCGGAGATCTTCGCGCGCCCAGCTCCATCGCTGGTCTCCCCGCAGAACCAGAAGCCGAAGAGCAACAACTACCTGACCGTTCCCGACTCCGATTCGATACGACCGAAGAGCGTGCCCTCGTCGCCGATGGTGAAGAGGGCCTTCTCCCGGCTGGGAACCATTACGGCCGGATGGGGTCGCTCCATACGGAACAAGAACACCAATCAGCTGAATCCGGATGACAAGAAGAAGTGGATATCGTCGACAGATTGTTCGAGTAAGGGTTTTCAGTCGGTGCAATGCAACCATATCGATGCGTGTTCTTTTCTCTCCGCTCTCTTTTGTTCTCTTCTCTCCTCTCTCTCCTGTGCGACTTGTGTTGATTTTCCGCATTTCCGCATTTCCACATTACGTATACGTCCACCGTCTGCGTCCTTGCGTACCTAAAATCAAAACCTAAACTTTTGCATCCTTAAAATGTCGATAACAAAAAATAACATCCAAATACCTGCAACTACAAAAACGCACGCCGCACATATTTGCCTCAACCTGAAAATAAAAACTGCGTACTCGTACTCTATATAACCACCACACGATCTCAACTGACTTATATATAAATAACCCTATAAATTGAACCCTATAAATACACCCATCGAATGTCTTGTGTCGAACGACCACCAAACCTCATTGATGTGCTTCTTTTGTTACCCTTTGGTTTATGGCATAAAATATTCTGGACATGGTTCTTTCGTTTACAAAAAATTTTGACAATGCATCCCTGCACAATTGGCCATCTAACTGCTTTTGAAACGCATTCCCAAATTCTGAATTATTTATACTGCACTTGATGTGATATTGAATACACCTTAAACAAATATCATAATCCAAAAATCATAAAATCATAAAATCATGACCTCTGTGCATATGGCAAATGCTATTTCATTTTACCTGCCCAAATACCTTTGTATTTACTTCATGGCTTTTTATTTCAATTATTTGCTTATGATTTTTATACTGAAAATAATTTGCGTATACTTATACGAATTCACCGCGTACATCCATCCATTTCATTTCTCCTCTACTCACCTCTATTCACAACTGCTTGCATTTTTACTGTTATGTGAAATTTTATTGCAATTGGATTCAACACTAAACTGTTTGGAACTATTTTTGGACTTCCTCTAACACTTTCACCACTTGACTTGATCCTTGATTTTACTATCCTCTTCCGTCGCTATGCCTCCTCTCTACAATCTCGATCTATATTTCTCTTTCTTCTGTTAATCTCAACTGCAAACAACAAACAAAATAATTTAAATTAAACAACAAACAAAATTTTGTCATTCTCTCATCTCACGTGACTCGCCAAACGCCTTACCATTTCCTCAAAAAAACAAAAAAAAAATTAAAAAAAAAAAAAAACGCCGCTTACGCCACCAACATAAACTTCTTAACTTAATGCTCTTGGTTTCACCATTAATTTCATTGCCGACCGACAAATGTTTTGATTTCCCTTATGCGTTGCAATCGATTACTTTGCGATTTTGCTAATTTCGACGATAACCGATGACCGATCACCCACGACGGACCATCGATAAACGCTGACCGATTGACCCAATGACCTTCCTACGCGCTGCTCGATAACACAACCACCACCCACTGGCGCCTGCAGACAGGGACAGCAAGGACAAGGACAAGGACAAGCCGGGCAACAACCAGCTGGCCGTGCCACGCCTCTCCGTCTGCGCCGACGCCCAGAAGGTCGATCGCGCCAAATTGGCCCAAACGGAGTTCAACATCATCGAATTCGATCCGGACACATTCCGGGTGCTGCTCGACTACCTGCACACGGGCACCTGTCCGCTGACCTGCGTCTCCATACCAGGTAACTATGCCACAACCATACGGGGGAACGCGAATTCTTCAGTCCTCTGGTTTCGATTAACCACATTGGTTTCGATTGCTGTACGTACGCAAAGTAAAGTAGGGAATCAATTCTATGTAAAGAAAATGTACAAAACTTTATGCAAGCATAAAGAAAATGTTATCTAAAAAACGCGAATTCTTGAGCATACTAAATTGTAACACTAAAACCCCTCTATATGTTAACTATCTCACTAGGGCTTTTCCTTTATAGTCCTATATAGAGTAGAGAAAGTCAAATAATATGTACCTGTATCCAACTTTCAAGGGCTACTGTGTGCCGCGGAGCACTACGACCTGCCGGAGCTGCTGCAGGCGTGCTTCCACCACTGCAAGCAGTTCCTGCGCATCGAGGTGGTCTGCCCGATGCTCATCTCGCTGGAGAACTACTACTGGCGCTACACATCCGCCTCCGAGCTGGTCAACATGATCCTGTCGTTCGTGGAGAGCAAGGCGCACTCGCTGTTCAAGTGCCCGGAGTTTCTGCACCTATCCGAGTCGATGGTGCAGATGATCATGTGCCGGGAGCTGCAGACGCCCGAGATACGCAAGTTTGAGGCGATGCTGGCGTGGGCCCAACACAAGGTGGGCAAACTGAAAAATCATCCGAACAAGGACACCCAGTTCGAGTTCGAATGCATAATGGAGCGACTGACGCGGGATCTAAATCTGTGCCGGATCTCGCCCAGCGAGCTGCTCACCGTCGTCCTGCCCTCCAAGTCGATGAAGAACGAACGCATCATGGAGACGCTCATGGTGCAGGTGAATCTGGGGACCTACCGGATGCCCGAGTTGGATGCGTACCGTCAGCAGTTGCGCCAGCAGGAGTCCGCCGAGGCCACCGTCCAGGTCCACCGGGGTGGATGAGACAGTAAGAATGTGAGTTTCGATTTGGATCAGCAACATCAGCAGCAGCAGCAGCAGCAGCAGGATCTGCAATCGGATTCGGATGCCACAGTGTCCCATAATAATGTCGTAGCCCTTCAGAACCACCACCATCCGCCACCCATCGATGCTCGTGCCTATGCCATGGCCTCCCTGGCCGCCGCCCTTGAGATGCAGCCCCTCCAGCCGAACGCCGCCCGCGATGCCGCCGACGAGGAGGTGGAGCTGTACGCCAGTTTCGATAATGCACCCAGCACCAGCCGGGTGGCCGCCCAAATGCAGGCCGCCAAGGAGGCGCGCCGGAAGCGGTGGGCGGCCGATGGGGCCAGCGGGAGCAGCGGGGACGGCGGATGCGCCAGCGGGAGCAGCGGCAGCGGGCGGCGTTACTAAATGGATGGATGTGTTCCCGTGTGACTGGGTTAAGCGTGTAGCCAACTTGGCACTGAAATTCGCCATTAACTATATGGAAAACTACAAATTCGGAACTTTTCTCAGCCATAACCTTGAAAATTTTTGGACATAATTCGGAACAAATTTTTAAAAACATATGTAGACAATTATATAGAATTTCAGTGGCGAATTTCTACAATTTAAGCGTAATTGAGTGATTATGAGCAGTGATTGCGAGAATACTGATTACATTTACCTACCAAATAAACTCAGTTAGGTTCTGGGGAGTTCGCTTAGCTCGAATTCTGTTTAGTTATTGCCAAAAAAGCTCAGTGCTTTAATTCAATTGGATAACGAGTATTGATGTAATATTAAATCATGGTTTGATCAATCATTTTTGCAAGTGCTCCAAATTTCAAGAATTTTAAGATACATGGGCTATAATTTCTAAAAGAAAGAGTTCCTTACATTTGATAAACATATTTTCTAGTTAGTAATTCACAGAGAATATTTCTAAACTCAATGTTCATATCTATATACTTAGATAGGCTATTGCATTGGGGTATGATTGAAGCTTCTAAGTGTGCTTTTCAACACTGTGCGAGTGCGTCTGCTGTGTGTGTGAGTGTGCGTGGCTTTGAGTGTGTGAATCCTTTTGCATGTGTGCGTGTGTGTGTGTGCGTCTTACCCATCGCATTAAAAGACGCCCAAACCATCCAAATCGAAACTGACATTGTTAACTCTTACATTCACCCCGGAATGACAAGAGCCCCCAATTTTTTGGGGGATGCATAGAGAGAGAGAGCGGAGGGAGACGGCGGCCCAACCCCACCCCCTCCCGCCCCCCTCTACAATTAAGATAATGATGGAGGACCCAGGCAAAGCAAAGCATAAGCATTTTCTACAAGTATTAACCAACATACATACATATGTATATGTGTACGTCGTGCAAGATTGTTCTAGGAAGGTGTGTAGAACTAGTCAGTTAAGGAACCACTGTGGCATTCGATTTTTGATACCCACACAATCGAGGATAAACAAAAAAAAGAAAAAAAAATTATAAAAAAAATAAAATGCAGCATGGAAAAACATTCGCAAAAAAAGGGAAAAACAAGAAAAGAAAATAAAAACAAACGCTTACTGATGTAAAACAAAGACTTAAACTAAAAATGAAACCAAATGAATAAAATATATAAAAGAAATTTTTTTAATCAATGTTATTGGACAAATGTAAGCTGAACAAAAATATCCTTCAGCCCCGACCCATTCCCATTGTAAACCAATTACCAGTTCACTCGATAAGAACGAGTTACCAGAGGAACTCAATTTACGACCTAAGAAAATACTATATGATGTACTTAAATGTTCAAAAGAATTGCAAGCATAATCTAACTGTTTGAACGCTATTTGTTTGGGTTTTTTGTATTGTCTGTTAATTTGTTACTACCAAAAGCCAATGAAGATTATTGATAAGTATCTACCTTTCCAGTCACGTTGACTGCACTCCTGTACATCTAATACTGGTTAATGTAGTTATGCCAAACCGAATAATCAACCACACTTGTTCATACAAGTGAATAGAGAGTCCAGTGAACATGAGCACCAGAAAACCAGAGAACCAGAAAACCGATACATAAGTGCAATATCTAAGTGTATGTTTGTATAACCAATAAAGTAATTGACCTAGAGAACAAGCCGGTGCAAATCCCCAAAAACAGCCCCTGCTTTTAAAGAAAAACCAGCCCACAGACTGGCAACAAAACCGCAGAAAACCTAAAGATAACTTCAACTAAAGGCTATAAGGCGCCAAAGCCAGCAGTCACATAATTAAATGAATGGAAATACCCAATGTTACTGGAAAACCCTGCAGATAATAGAGCCATCAGCTGATCAAGTAGATCACAGATAAGCCCATAGAAAATCGGTTTCCACACTCCCTTTGGAAATCAGTTGAGCCCATATACTTTATTTCGAATGCCAGTCCTCTAATAGATCAATGTTTTATTGCCACCACTCGTTTCTGAAATATTAGCCCACGGGAATCCTTCAGTTGCTAAAAGACCGATTTTTGATCGAGAAAGTAGACAAGGCAAATTCTGATGCAACAAGAAACTAAATGTAAACGGCAGCATTTCCAAAAGGGTTTCACTTAAATGTTCAAAGACGCATATATCAAAATTCAATGTCTAAACTGTACAACAAGTTTATCAAGTGTCTGGCAGGTCGTACATATGTAAGTATAAGATTAAGCAATTACCATATTACAATTCAAAAGGCCCGAAGGAAAATAACCCTAACAAGAAAAGCAAATGGAAATCCGTAATTAAACGCTTTCAGTGTGCAAGAACCGAATAAATAAAGTAAATGTTAACCAGATAGACTAAATATAAACCTTAAACTAAAGCTAAAACTGGAAAATAGTGAAAGGCAAATGTTTTTGGGGCCTGTTTTTTTTTTTTTGTTTTTTTGGAAAACTTGGATTGCAACAGAAGCCAGCAGATATAATGCAAAAAATAGATAAAAACTCTTTGAAGTATTTTGAGGCAGAGAAGGCCGTTTGCCGTTCGATTCAAAAGTTATACAAATGTTGTACGTTCTTTTCCGTTGATTAATCTACGAAAAAAAAATAGCAGATATAACAGATTTAAATGGACATAAAGCATAGCTGTATTTTTACCGTCGCTCTATCGACTCAAATATACTGTTCGAACTGAATGTACTCATCTGATTAATATAAATGTATTTACCGCAGATATCCGATATACCGAAAATAAACAATAAGTGCTGTTTCTATATGTTCGCCCGCTTGCCACCGCCCACCAAACACCGCCCACCACCCACCGCCCCTCTGCCGCACTTAACCCACCCAACCACCGGATGGCAGAGTGGTGCAGGGTGGTGGGTGGCTGGCAGGTGCGGAACGGGCTCACTTTTGATAGCAGATTGAATCAGGTAGAAAATCGAAAACAAAATGAAATGAAAACACCCATTCGGTGTAAAGCCGTGACTCCTTTTGAGCGGACGATCTGATCTACATCTACAATATACGCCAATGAAAACCACATAACACATTTGTTTAATCGAAAAACCAAACTCAATTGAATGCGGAATAAAGCTAAATAAATGTTGTAATTGCCACAGCCAAGCATAACAGGAAAGATTCAATAAAAATTATAAAAATATCAAAACCGCCTTTTTATGCACTGGGAACATAAACGAATATTATATCATTTAAATATGGGTTTTAGCTCCGATTAAAACACCGACATTCCCTTGCGTTTTATTAGATTACTGTTTGGTTTTTTATTTTTTAAATATAAATAGGAGGGTGGAAACTAGAAACTAGAATGGAAAGCTATTTGGCTTGTACTTGTGAAGCTATTCAAAATACTTTTGAATACTTTTTCATTGAATCAATTTCAAATATATTCAAATAGATTTTCATGGCCATACTCAGCTATTGACAAGTTCTGAAAGAAAAAGGAATCCTTTCCACCCTTTTGAAATAAAAAACAAAACGAGAATTGAATTTGAATTGTCGCTTGTTGCCGCTTACATAATAAATTAAACAATTATAATAATCAGTACAATAATTCCATTATTAATGTGGTTGTTTGTTGTTGGTTTCCCTTCCACTCAGCATACAAGTTGATGTTTAATGAAATGTATAAGCTAAAACAAATTGCAAACAGCAAATGCAACGACATTTTGCACTTCGCCTCCTCTCTATATACAAAGCTACAAATCATTTGAATTTCTCATTCTTTTTCTTGGATTTTCCCCTTTCGATTTAGCTATTTTGTTTCATTTTCTGTTTAGAGCTACGGTTAAATAATTTACGTTGTGTAAAGTGTAAACTTTTGATTACAGAGTTACCATTGAAGGAGATACAGATACAGATACAGATACAGACACAGATAAGGATACAGATACAGATACAGATACAGAGACATATAGAATATAATAGAACTGGATACAGGGGGGCGGGTGTTGGGCGAACATAATTGCTTTCAACTATTGCACTATTATCGGATGTGTCCCTAAAGATCCCTAAAGATATATGTCTATGTACAATTGGAGCTGCGCAACGAAACGAATTGTCTAGCAGATGCGGATACAGATGAATCGCTGAGGCTCAAGCACTTAAACGTATTAGACTTTTGAACACTTTCGTTTGTCATCAATCACATGTCCACGGATATCCGGCTCTGGTCGTTGATGTACCCGATGCGCCACCCGACGATCCTCCTGGCCATTCGTCCCCGTCCGTATACAAGCTGGCATACGATCCGCTGGCCGAACACGTCCGACGACCGCCGATCCGCCGGTCAGTTCCGGACGACCTGGTGCCCAGACGGCCACCTGCATACGCCGGCATCGACAGCGAGTCGCCGGCTGCTGACGAGACGGGCAGGGAAATGGGCTCCAGCAGGCCCACCTCCTCCTCCTGACTGTCGTCGTGAGCAGCAGCGTCGGCGACATCGTCGTCGAAGCCATACCAGCATCACATGACCATGATTTGCAGCGCTACTCATTGATCTATCGTACGGTAGATGCGTCTCTGGGGCTCGGGTGTATAGTGGATGCGAGTGCGGAAATGTTGCGGTGATCCCGGCACGCTTTCAGAGCCTCGTCGCGGTGGCGGTAGCGGCGGCGAGGCCGAAACGTATCTGAAAGTGAGTGGGAGAGGCGAGGGTTAGCATGACTTAGAGCAGGACGGCATGGTTACCCGGCACCAACCTGCGATGCAGCAGCGGAGAGCCGGGCGGCTGACCACTCAGCTCCAGCAGATTCTTCCGCAGCAACAGCGGCGACTGTCCGCGATTGTAGCGTGGCGGCGGATCTGGACTCCGATGTCTGCGATCCAATCCTGCCAAGATATGCGGACTGGGCGGCGTGCTGATGCTACCGCCACCGCCGCCCATTCCCGGCCCGCTGCTGGCGTAGCGACGCAGGAAGCTACTGGTGCCGCCTCCGGGCAGTGGCTCCGTTGTGGGCGAGGTGCTCTGGCTGGTATTACTACTGCTGCTGGCCGCCGACAAGGTGCGATAGTAGTAGGACTTGCCAACGCTGCCGTTATTCACGACGCTCCTGTACGCCGGCGGCTGCGGATGCACCAGCTCCTGATCGCGATCCATGCTGGACGCCACCGGCGACGTGGCTGTGGAATTCAATTGGGTTTTAACATAGGTGGCAAACTGTCGCTTCATGGCACCGGCAAGTGTGTTGAACCAGCCTGTTTGGTGGTTCGTTTTTGTTTGATGGATTGAGTGATGATGGATTATGAGTACGTGGTTTCATGGTGATGCAGTGCAGTGGTGCAGAGTACGTTTTGTTGTGCGGTGTGCGGAAAACGAAGAGAAAAACGAAACGGAAATGGAAAATGTATAAATACAAGAGCAACAGAGCGGCGTTCAAAGCGAAATCAAAAGAGCGATTATGGACTCAGAAACAAATCACCTTCTAAAGAAAGTTTTTGCAATGGTGTAGATGCACATCAAAGAGATTGGTTTAGGAATATAGAATAATTGTTTCAGCCAGAATGCTATGATTTTATTTCTGAGTTTGAGGCCTAATTAGGAGTGCAATTGATGGCTCACCGGCATCGTGTTGCTCCCGACTGCAGCCATCCAGGCTGCTGTTGCTCGCTCCGCTGCTGGAGCTCTGGCCCAAAAGCTGTCGGCGTGCGTACAGCTTGCTCAGCTTGCTGGCCACCATGCTGCCACTTGCTCCACAATCCGACTGCTGTTCCGGTGACCTGGGCTGCAGCGTGGGACTCGTGCCCGCTGCCTCGGCGGCGATGGGCAGCGGCTGGTACTGCAACTGCTCGCCATTGCCGCCCGCTCCAAAGTGACCAGCTGCCCCCAATCCTGATCCCAATCCTATTCCTATTCCCGCTACATTTGCCGTTCCAGAGCCAGACGATGGGGATATGCTGGCGGGATTGACGGCGATTTGCGAACATGTCGACTGCGTGGAAGACTGACTAGAGGTGGAGTGCGTTGATGGCGGCGGCGGCACATAGTTGCTGTGAAACGGATTCGTGCTGGTCACTCCCACGGGCGGCTGCTGCCGCTGCTGCTGATACCGCTCCGCCGCCTCCTTCTCGCGCAGCTGGTTCTGCTGGTGGTAGAAGCGCTGCAGCACTGCAAAGCGAAGCAAATTGACATGTTTATTGTGTACTTAGCCCAGCAAATGAAGAGGGGCTTACCTATGGGGCTCTGGTTGCCCGGCTGCAATCGCTGTGGTTGTGGCTGCTGACTCGTGAGCTGCAGAGTCGGCGTCGGCGATTCTGTGGGGAATTGCTTGCGCGGCAACGAGGGGGAGGGTGAGGAGAGGCCCAAATTCAAGGTCGTCGTGGTCGCATTACTACTACTATCACAGCTGTCGTAGGCTTGGGGATTTTCCGCTGGCAGGCGCCAAGTGGGCGTGGTCGTTGGCGTTGTCGCGAGCGCCGCAGCTGCAATATTTGGCGGTGTTGGTGCTCCTGCTGCTGCTGCTGCTGCATCCGTGATCAATGTTTGGTTGTTGTGCGGCAGTGGTATTGATGTCGCAGTCGCTGCTGCTGAATTGTGTTTCTTTTGGCTGAAGGGCGATGTGGTCAGATTGCGTAGAATCGATTGGCCTGCAATTGATGCAATTGATGAAGTGTAAACGTTTTGTAAACCTACGGAGGCAAACCTACCGATGCTACTGAACATGGACTCCTTCTTGGGGCTCTCGTCGTTGTATTTGTAGTGCGGATGATGGGATCCGTTGCTCAGTTTTCGCTGCATGAACGGCGATTTGCGATAAAGCCGGTTTAGATCGCCGATTCCGGCGCTTGGTGGCGATAGGGGGCTGGCACTGCTGCTGCTCCCGCTACCATTTCCACTTCCACTTCCGCCGCTGCCATTTCCTCGTCCATTGCCGTTTCCGCTGCCGCCGAAACAGTTTGTCGTTGCCGTCGGTGTTGTGGTTGTTGTTTGAGGTAGTTGTGTGGCTGATTGCATGAAATACTGCGACTGCTGCTGCTGGTAACTCGGTATCTGAGTGGGTTTTATTGTCTTCTGCGAACTTGTGGGACTCTGGCCCGCATACGGCGTCGCCCTACCATATTTTACAGCTCCACCCGCGGATCCTGATCCTGCGAGAGATCCGGCACCAGAACCGACTACACTTCCAGTCGCCGTCGCCCTGCAATTTGACGATGGATTCGTTTGAGATTAGTGGATTCTCGGTGACAAGACGACCAGTAATGAGAGCACACTCAAATGTACGCCAGTGACAGAAAGAAGGTTTGTGTTTGGAGGGGATTCGTCGGGTATTTAGAGGGCGTATTTAGGATTTTGAGGGGATCGTCAGGATATCCGGGATCTGGTGGGTTGTAGGGTACATTTAAATAGATTGACGGCGCAATGGCAACATATCTAAGACATTTATATGAGCTGTAATCGCATTTGGAATGTGTTTCGTGAGCGGTGTGTGTGTTTTGTATATGTACAAGTTGATGAGTGTGTTTTGGGTGTATGTTGTGTGTTCTTTTGTGTAAGCGACAGGTGGGAAACACAGGTAAATGCCAAAGGGAGCGAAAGCGAAAGATGGCCGCGCAGAATTATAGAATGTCTGCTTATGATGTCTTCCTAGGATAACATTTTCCTAAAAGCAAATGTGAATAATTGGAAAAAAGATCCCTTTCACTATTGCAAACAAAATTCAAAGTTTTAAACAAATAAGAAGCTTAAGCTTTGATTAATATTTGTATGTTCAAACTAAGTAAACTGCAAAATTTCAAACAAATACTTTACTCTGTTTCAGTTCACTTTTAAGTTGTAATTTTCAAACTTGAAAACAGTAAATTTGTTTCCCTAAGCACAAATTCCTATCAATTTTATTTGTTGCATTCTAGATCCAAAAACAGTTCTAAACAAGCATTAAATAGTTGGGTTTAGTAGCTAGCCCATGTTTTCGTGATGGAAAAGCGTGATAAATGAAAAGCTGTGAGAAGTTTCAGCGACGCAAAACCAAATGAAATGAACTTAAAATCAATAAGTAATATTTATAATTAGGAATGGTAAATAGTCAGTGTCAAATTACCTTTTCTGGCGTTTGAGCATTTCTAGATGGGCAAATAAACAAAGTATAAATTAAATAAATAAGGAAACCAATGCCAAAAGCCAAGCCCAGATTCAGACAAGAACATGCGAAAATAAACCGATAAATAAACTATGGTATTAACAAAAGTCCATTAATGAAGCATTAAATAATAAATATAATAACAGTTAGCAGAGCATGGGGCGTGTTTACAACGATTAACGATTACACTTAACTAATGAAAACATAAATAGAAGGCTAATAATAAGAATAATAAACTCGTCGTACTTACTGAATTTTACTTTTAATTGGGAGGAGTTTTATAGTTTTTTGAGTAGTTATGTTTGGTTGGCATTATCATTATATATAGGTAAATATATATTTTGGTTTATATATCTGTATATAGAGTTGATGGTTGCAAGGTTTACTTGAATGCTTTTGTTTTGTTTTTTCAGTTTATGTCGATAGGTTTTAATGTTTGGTTTTTGTTTATAGTTTGTCTTCTTCTTTTTCGTTTGCTTTAATTTTTTGTTAGATTATGTTTATTGGATTTCTTCATTGTTTGTCATTATTGTTTAAGAAATGGTATTAGGAATTAGGTAACCTACAAAAAATGGTAATAAAAAAGATGAAAAAGGAAAATAAAAACGTCGCACACACACACTCAAATTAAAAATGGCAATTAAACGCAAGAAAGAAGAAAGTACATCAAAATGTTTATAATTATTTCATAATACACTTTTGGTTCGTCCTAAAATAAGTACAGGTTCTAAGTGGGTAAAGATAGACAGATATTTGCGTGGATAGCAGACTACAAAAGGACTAGGGGTTACATACTCTTTCCAAAGATTCCCAATAAATTTAAATAGATTTTAGAATTAAATGCATAGGAATTGTATTATAATGCAGATCAATCTTTAGTACACTTAGTAAGTTCTAAGATTTGGATTTAGTGCAAAAAGTTTGTTTATAAAGCTGTTATTTTTAGTTCTACACTTGAATATTCTTTTGGTTTAAAAAAGCTTTAAGACTGTTCACTTTTAAATGCAATTTACCTACTAAATAGCTTTGGAAAGATCATTTATTCTAGCACAACAAGTTCGTATCTAATTGCTAGCTAATATTCTAAAAATACAGTTAATTATCCACTTATAAAGTGGACTTGATTTCTTAATGTGTATTAAACGAAACAAAAAAGCTAAACATGCCAAAAAGGAATAGGATAGAAACGGAGGAGCTAAGCGTAATTTTATAGTGTTAATTAGCCTCACCAGAGAAAATGAAAGGAAAAAACAAGAGTAAAATAAATTAGGAATGTGAAACAAGTTGAGGAACAAGCAGTTTAAATTAGTTGGCTAGCGAAAGCATGAATTTAGGATATCCATCCTAATCCTAGGTTGGAGCCTCCCAGCTTTTTTCGTGAATCCTTTCCTACCTGTTGAACTGGAGAAGCACGTTAAGCGAAGAACAAAGAACGGAAAATGGAAAACGGAAATGGAAACGGAAAAGTGGGGAAAATACAAAGCGCTCCGCACTATCTCAGACACACCCACTATTCACACACATCCACAACAGGCACAACACATCATCAGCCGGGAATAGCGGACGGGTCGTGGGAATAATGCTGGAGGATCTGGCACAGATCACCGGATGGGCTCACCTCTGGAGCGTTGGATCGCCATTGGCACGCAGCCGGTTATCCTTGATGCTCTGAAACCAATTGGGCACATCTACTTTGGCTATTTCATAAGTCCGGATGAAGGGCTGGGCCAGAAGCTCCGGGTACTTGGGTCGATCCTGATGGTTCTTTGTGAGGCTGTAAGCAGACAAATTACCATGTTAATTGGGCTCTGTACAAGCGGCAAAGCCACCTGGAAGCATCACCCACCACTTGATGACGAAATCGCGGAACTGCTGACTAAAGTTGTAGCCCTCGCCGTATGGCAAACACGGCGGCTCCGAGTCCAGCACCTTGGTGAGCACCTCGAAGTCCGTGTTGCATCCCTCGTACGGAGATCGCGCGGTGGCCAGCTCCACCAGCGTGATGCCCATGGACCACACATCTGCGCGAATGTCGTACTTTGGTTTTTTGGGGTCGATACGCTCCGGCTATAAAATTCAAATGATTGTATTAATTATTATTATAGGGGGTTTCCAAATAGGTACTTCAGCAACTAGATGAATGTTGAATCAAATAGGTCATATGTATGTATTCCAAGTACTTGTTCATTAAAAGCTTAGTTTACGCTTCAATTATCTTAAGTGTATGGCTTTGCCTAGCTTGGAATTTCCCTACGAACACGTTCATTATTTAAATAAATTAAGTCATGAAACCAATCAGTTAATCAACAAACCTATACATTTTCCAAGAAATGTAGTGAGTTATCAGCTTGTGTAGCAAATAAATTTAGTACTTTACAATATACACAATTTCCTCAATGAATCTACGATCTGTATAGCCTATTTTCCCTATCTTAGCCCTTCAGCTCGTTATACCCACCGCCATATAAGCTGCACAGCCGGCGGATCGAGTGTTGGCCTTGGAGTCCACCAGGCGACCGCTGATCCCGAAATCACAGAGCTTGATGTTACCGCGCTCGTCGATCAGAATGTTCGAGGGCTTCACATCTCGATGGATGACCCCGTGCTTGTCCTTCAGATAGGACAACGCGTTGACCGTCTGCAAATTGGATAAGTATCAAGTAAAGTTTGTGAAGAGGCTATTTATTCGCCAAGAACTTACCGCCACAGTGACCTTGCCCAGGATCTGTTCCGGCACCGGCTTCTTGGAGAGCTTGAGCAGCTTATCAAAGCACATGGACATCAGCTCCATGCAGATCCACACATCCGGATCGCGAACAAAGCAGCCGAGGCACTTGACAATGTACTTGCAGTCATGCGACTTGAGCACAACGTCCAGATCCATCAGGATGCGCTTGTTCTCCTCCGCGTTGCCAGTGCGCCGCATCTGCTTCACGGCGATGATCGTGTTGCTGGACAGGTGCATCATCTTCACCACATTGCCGCTGGTCCCGTTGCCCAGGTCGCCCAGATGCTTGAGGTCATTGATGTCCGTCGGATACTGCCGCCCGTTGATGTTCAGCTTGCCGGTCTGCTCCATGATGATCTTCAGCTTCTTGTCCGTTTCCGACACCGGTGGATGCGGCGGCGTGGGCAACGGAAGTATCACCGGCCGCGTCCGATTCACTCCGCCACCGGGGCCGCTAGATACTAGAAGGACAATGGATATAGGGATGTGTTAGTATCCTGTTAAAACTGCATGTGTTTAAATCAATCCTTTACATACTGCATATGAATAATGAACAATGAAGCGAATTTATTATGTTGCATATCTTTCAGAAGCCCTCGCCAACAAGAATATTCCCCCACACTTCTCTCAATTGCTATTCGAAACTGTAACTAATATAACCTTATAACTAATTCTTTGAAATATGTCCAATAATAATATCTAACTGGGTTACCGTGGGCCACTAATCAATTATCCAATGCTGCCCACTGTGCCAGCGTGCATGTGTGGGTATGACAGTCACTGTGTGTGTGTGTGTGCATAAAGAGGGAATGGGAGCGATTTTGTTTGCGAAGTTTTTTTCCTGACAGCAATTCAATTCAACAATTAGCCACTACAGCAACAACAGCAAGTCATAAAAAATAACGCTATTTGTAAACATGCGAAAGAGGAGACACGGCAGAATGTCCGATAAATGTGGGCAGGGGCGGCGAAGGAGGGAATATGCGAGGCCCAAAAAATGAAAACAACAGTAACGGGCATATCAAGGCATTACTCCGGAAATGCCAAAAAGTAACCAATGACAGAGAGCGAGAGAGCGACGAAGAGAGCGCCAAAAGTGAGCAGAGAGACGCACACATGCAAAAAGTAAATAAATATGTAAGTAAATAAATAACAACACTTGATGGCAGATGAAAATCCAATAAGAAAAATATGCAAAACAAGGCGAAACATAAATGTATGACAAAAGGGAGGGAAAGGAACGAGGAAGGGCGGTGGGTGGTCTCACAATTGTGGTCAAAATAACAGAATCTCCTACATGAAACTATGGCCAAAGTATTAGAAAAAAGTTCAATGATCTTATCGATTAAATCGAAATCATTTACATTTTTGACTATAAATTATTTATTTGGACGATTTCACTTTGAATAAACCATTAATGTATCCAAAGTGATATTTAAATAGTGATATTTTTTTAGCTATATATTCTCTTAAATGTTATTCACTAGTTTTATACACATGAACTATAAAATCTATGCAAAAGCTGATTACCGAGTAAAATTTGGGTGTACTCTTAAAATTCACAACAACCACTAATCTAATAGACTCGAAATGTATGTATTCGCCTATTCAAAAACGCATTATGCATTTTCTGGGGTTCATGGAAAACAGTTATGGTACCAGGAATTGTTAATCTAATCGGCTGAAAATAAATTGACGCGGTGCACAGCTGTTAATACCACTGTAGATTTGGACTTTTTTTTTCGGGCCCCAAAAGAGGCCGAAAACAAGTTGGGTTCTTTTTTGGTTTTCGCACTTGGCCTGTGTTATCTATGCAATCGGAAAAACAGAACGGGAAATCGGGGGGAAAACTGGGGGAGTGACAGGGTTGATGGGGTGCTGAGGTGCTGGAATGGGGGATTTTGAGCAGCTGTTATGCAGTCCGGGAATCGATAGCGTTTGCCCTTTGTTGGCGGCAACCAAATGTTCCAAAGAAAACCCAATAGCAATACCAATGGCAAAAGGCAAGAAAGAAGCACTTCTCTTATCACAATTTAAGCACACACACAAACGCATATACGCAGCTTATTGAGCAATGTCAATTTATTAACAAAATATTTACACAAATGCGGACAAGAGATGGTTTTGTGGCTTGCGTTTGGCGGTACGGTATACATACATATTATATATAGATTTTTGGTGACCATTTTTGGGGATCACGATTTTTCTCAGCCCTCTTTTATTACTACTTAACAAACTGTTTACAGCTGTGGTCAAAAAACTGTTGGCTTTAAGTCCGCACCTGTCACAGAGGATCAATAAAGATTTCACCTGTCTAAAGTAAGAACGATAATACATTAAGCTTTCGGCAAAATAATATCGAAAATGTTTTTAGTGGGCTTGGAAACTGATTTGTGCGTACCACTATTGATATATGTACGTTTTTGGCGGGCAATTATGAGAAACGGAATATTCGAACCATGGTGACGTAGTATTAATTCTGATTGAGTTTCGGAAAAGTCTAGTTGGAAAAGTTTGAGCTATAGCCTGCAGTTTGATAAGCTAGCATTTCATATAGGGTTTTAAAGTATTCCCTTGTAAATCAGAGTGTTTTTCTAGTTGGGATTTGAACATACGTATGTAGATAAGCCATATTGGCAATCCACACCAGTTACAGATATTAAAGATTCATTTAGTACAAATTTTGGAATGGAGGACTTACGCATGGGCAGTGTGGGCGTGACTCGCGACACTCTAGTTGTGGGCGGGGTGTATGTTCCACCGAAGGAGCCCGTCGCTGGTGCTGCGGATGCAAATGCGGATGCGGATGATGACGTCGAGGCGCTGGCCCTGCCGAAGGGCGTCGCATGAGGAACTGGGGGTGCCGGCCGCTGGGCTATGCTGATTCCCGATCCGGGAACGGAACCTGCGCCCAGGGGCGGTGCGTGGGCGGCGGATGTGGCTGCGGATGTCGCCAGCGGCGGAACGCGGGCAGACGGAACGGAACCGGAAACGCCTGGTCCGCGCCCACCGGAAAGGACGATCTGGTCGTGGGACTCATTCTGCGCCTGAAGCTTCGCCTCCAAGGATTGCAGCCGACTGCCGATCGTTTCGAACTCAATGGTGGACATTATATCGACTCGGTTAGGTCCGATTTTTGTTAGTTAGTTGCTGGTACTGTTGGATTTTGATATTTATTTAATTTTTTCGTTTTTGGCCAACACTTCTTCGATTTTTCTCTCACTCCCTCTCTCTCACACACACACAGGCGCGCGCAGGCGGGGGAGGGTGCGTGTGTGTGAATTGTTTTGCTGTGCGCCCTGCTTGTTGTTTTGTCGCTGATGTTGTTGTTCGGCGGCACACATACACTCTAAACTTTACACTTGCAGAAACAACGGATCGCTTGGACTTTTGTTGTTTGTCGGGGGGGCACAAAAACAAAATCGAAAAAAGGAAAACACAGTCACTGTGCATTAGAGAGAGACATCCTCACCCCCACACACACACACACTCAGGCATACACGCAGCGCCCTCTCTCTCTCTTTCTTTTTCAGCAGCAACGGCAACAACAACTTGCGATTTTTTCCTCCTTTTTTGGGAGAATATTTCATCGGTTGTTTTCCTTTCGCGGCGCTGTTTGTCGCACTTCTGCAATCGATTCGTTTCGCGACCGCGGGCAGCGGTATCACTGGCACAATTTGATCACTCGCTTTTGTACGTTTTTGCTGCCTAAATCGCGTGTACAATAGTGATGTAAAAAAACATCGATGCATCAGCCATCGATGGTCTTCTGCCGATATTTGTCGATATCTGTTTTGGTGCCTATCGATGCTTTGCAAAACATCGGTTCGTTAGAAAACGTTTTTGAACGAATAATGTAATGGTATCTAAAACTATGTTGGATTTCCTTTTCAGTGAGTTAGAATTCTTGTCAAGGAATATGTTAAGAAAATTATATTATATATTAAATCTTTTAGACTTAAAAAGGGCTCTAATAATATTGGGTCCACCTATTCAGATTTTGAATTCTCAATGAACCACATAATACTACATTTCGAAAACATAGAATTCTATGTTCTCAGTCAAACTTGCATCACTATTGAAATTGAAATTGAAAACAGAGTGACCAAAGTGCTAAGCAATCATAAATATACCGAAACGCAGTAAAACATAAGATGGGCATCACTTGGCCAGAACTAAGTTGTTCCAATGAAATAAATGTCTACAACAAACAATTAAAGGAAATTGATAACAAGTAAAAAGTAAGTCTAAAGATAATTTTGAGGAGAGATTAGGAGAATTAAAAACACATTGATATAATCGATACATTGCTTAATTACGAAAAATCGCCTCAGCTGGAAACCCATATATTATCGAGGAACTTCGATTTATTTGTATGGCGATACTATTCTTGCACTCGATGGGATATATCGATTGGACCGTCGATAGCTGGCCAGCGCTAGTGGAAAAGCGAGAAAAACGGGAAGAGAAGCGAAAAGCGATCGGGGAACAGTGCAAAAAGTGCGGACAGGAAAGCAAAGACAATAGCGAAAGGTTGGGCGGCAAAACCCGGGCCACACGATCCACACCGATCCGATCCCAAATCACCGACCCGCATCCGAATCCTGACCTGACCAAATGCGGTAAAAATAGCCGCACCGCATCTCATCCGATTCGCACCGAACCGACAGGTCTTGCAGAATCCGCCAGAAAACGCCGAGGACAGTCAAGGAGAGGATACATATAGCATATAGGATATAGGATATAGAAGGGCTTACCATAATGTCCAAACGCCACCGCCTCGCCCCCTTTACCATTGCCAAGGAGCCAGAGGCCGCCATGTAAGTCCAAATGGCCAAATCCCGGCCAGAAACGCACAGTGAATTGAACTACATCCGCTAATGCTTTTAGAGTCCCGCCACGCAACCTGGACTCGCGGGCCACCATCCAAATTGGCGACCAGACCTTTGACATCGATGCAGATAGTCTGGAGAAGATCTGCGATCTGGGCCGTGGCGCCTATGGCATCGTGGAGAAGATGCGCCATCGGCAAACCGATACGGTCCTCGCCGTCAAACGCATACCCATGACCGTAAATATCCGAGAACAGCACCGCCTTGTGATGGATTTGGACATATCGATGAGATCCAGCGACTGCCCCTACACCGTCCACTTCTATGGAGCGATGTACCGCGAGGGAGATGTCTGGATCTGCATGGAGGTGATGAGCACCAGCCTGGACAAGTTCTATCCGAAGGTCTTCCGCCACGATCTGCGAATGGAGGAAAGCGTGCTGGGCAAGGTCAGCTGGGGAGGATTGGGGGCGGGTCTAATCTAATCGGGCAATCCCCACTATTCTACTGCTGTACTACTGCCTTTGCTTTACAGATTGCAATGAGCGTGGTCAGTGCGCTGCACTACCTGCACGCTCAACTGAAAGTCATCCATCGCGACGTCAAGCCCTCGAACATACTGATCAATCGGGCCGGACAGGTCAAGATCTGTGACTTTGGCATCTCAGGTGGGCATTGGATCACTTCATGCAACTGTTTATTTATGCTAATATTGGTCTGAATTTTATTTAGGCTACCTCGTGGACTCCATTGCCAAAACTATCGATGCCGGTTGCAAGCCGTACATGGCGCCGGAACGCATCGATCCCCAGGGAAATCCGGCGCAATACGACATCAGGTCGGATGTTTGGTCGCTGGGCATCAGCATGATCGAAATGGCCACTGGCCGCTACCCTTACGACAACTGGCGAACGCCATTTGAGCAACTGAGTCAGGTGAGTGCCTAAATATGGGTGATAAGGGATCTTCTTAAGGTCGCAAGTATGCAAAGGCTAATAATTCCCTATTGTGGGTTGTTGGAATTTTCAAAACAAACCCGATAAAAGTGTGACTTAATAATTAGTTGACAGATTTTATTGGGGCTTCGATTTCTTCACAGATAATTCGCCGAAAATAGTATGATATAAGTTGAATGCTGTTATGTAGTTATAGCCATTCAAACTATTATTTGTTAATTAGACCAGGAACCAAATTTTATTACATAAGTTATTGCTGGCTCACAAATAACTATTAAGTAATCTTAATAAAAAATGTAACCACTTGTTCTCAAGCACTTAACATTACAATTAACTCTCAAAAAACAATTAGTAAGGTGCCAAGCTGCTGTGGTTATAAAAATGCTTAGTAAAACAATTAATAATCTTGGAGTTAGTAAACCACTTTCAGTCACAATTCTCCGCATCGTACACAGCGTAATTGAGTAACCATTATTTGTATTACCTTTTAGGTGGTTGAGGACAGTCCGCCGCGCCTGCCGGAGGGAACCTTTTCGCCGGAGTTCGAGGACTTCATCTCCGTCTGCCTGCAAAAGGAGTACATGGCGCGGCCCAACTACGAGCAGCTGCTCAAGCACAGCTTCATCGTGGAGCACCTGCAGCGCAACACGGACATCTCGGAGTTCGTGGCCAGGATACTGGATCTGCCCGACACCCAGCCGGCGCAGTAGGTTAATGGTCGGGTGTAAGGTTAATGGTTAACCCATGGCGCCAACCCCTTAACCCCTTAAGCCGTGCCGTGCCCGTGCCCGTGTAAATTGCCGCCGTCTTCTTCTAGCATGCATTTCGTACATGTTGTGTGTGTGTCCCGCCTGCGTGACATCAAAATGAATAAAACTATATATGAATGAAGTCCAAGGAAAACCCAAAACCCAAAACCCAAATCCAACAGCAATCAGCTAATCTAAAGATTCAAAATGGAAACTGTATAATTATTAATTTAAGTGAGAGAAGCAACAGCAACATAACCGTCACTAGCATCCTGCAATATGCATAATCCAATCTTCGCCTTGCAACGCTCAAAAATGGATAACCGAACCGTGCCTCCCAGCTGGCGATGCTGCTGATGTCTTGAAGCATAATACCATTTTAATATATATTTGTAAAAGATAATAGCTTAGTCAACGAAACACAAGAACAGAAGCAAGCAAACAATGAATGTAAAAACGTACTAAACTTAAATGGTAATTTGTAAACTTTTTGAACACCAAAATAGCCGAACAGAAAGTGTAATTGTAATTATAATTGTTTAACAAATATATATTACGTAAAATAGCTAAATCTAAATCCATCTATCTATATGAATAACTAAAGTGTACCACAATCTTTCGGAATTGTTTTCCCAAAACCAAGTTCACCAGCGAAAATTCAAAAATTGCGGCCGATTCCAGTGCATCGTAAGTGCAACAAGCAGCAAATTGAAATCGTATGCATATGTGTATGTACATGGTATCGATACCTTTCCATCTGGTATCAGGGCTCCATTGACGTGGATACCGTACTCGATTTAAAAGACATTCCGCACTACGTGAGTTCCCTATCGATATCGCAGCACAGAACACCCAGACACTCCGAATTTATGTTTTACGTACCTGTCTATGGGGTGTGGTTTAAATTCAAGGAAGTAAACCCCTTTCAATGCATTTCACCGACGCCCATGTCTCTCCGTCCCCTTGTGAGATAAGCTTGCTCCGATATTTCTGGAACCCATCCCTAGCGGTCCCATAAAACCCTGATAATCTGGTCGACTTAGTGCCCGTCCATCCACTGCCCACGATTAGATTGCTGCAGAAATGGGAGGTGCACGGAACATATTGTTGCTATCCTCGTCGCGTTTGCACGGCCATGGACTGTTGGAGCATGCGCGCGGCCAGCTGGAGGATCTCTTCAAGAGGTAGGTCGCTTCCCGTAGTGTACCAGTGTATATCTGATCTGAACTGAAAGTAAAAACAGTGATAATCCAATCATAATCTTAAAGCACTTTAAATAAATCATGAGAGTTGATATAAAGTAGCATAAAGAATATATCTTTCAGCTACATTATTTTACATTGGAACAAAGAGAAAATGTATATAACAATATTAAATACATATAGTGATAGGAATAAAATGTAAATGTATTCAATATTGATAACGTAAAAGAGAAAATAGATTCCTATATGGTTATGGATCCCTTGTGTTGCAGCTGCAATGTGAAGACCGTGCTCTTTGTGCCCTACGCTCTGCGGGATCACGACAGGTACACCGCCACCATACAGGATGCACTGAAGCCTTGGGGATTCGATGTGGAGGGACTGCACACGAAGCCGGATCGCGAGAAGGCGCTGAGGGAAGCACAGGCCGTCTTTGTGGGCGGCGGCAACACCTTCGTGCTGCTGCGCTCCCTCTACGAGATGAAGCTGCTGGATCCGATCAGGGAACTGGTGCTTCAGCAGGGATTGCCCTATGTGGGCAGCAGTGCGGGCACGAACGTGGCAACCCGCTCCATCCACACCACCAACGACATGCCGGTGGCCTATCCGCCGAGCTTTGAGGCCCTCGCCCTGGTCCCCTTCAACATCAATCCCCACTATCTGGATCCGGAGGTGGGCAGTCGGCACAAGGGCGAGACGCGTGACGAGCGGCTGGAGGAGTTCGTGGCGTACCATGGACTGCCCGTACTGGGTCTGCGCGAGGGCACCAGCGTTCGGGTTCAGGGCGGCAAAGCCACCCTCCTGGGCGATCGCAATGCCAAGCTATTCAAGGTGTAAGTACCCTTCCACTCTGTCCACTGGGGTTTTGTTCGGTTTAACGAGCTTAACAGTAAGGTTTGCTGCATTTAAATAACTTTAAAAATGCTTAATATAAATGCGATTTATTTGCTTTTATTTTTCAGTAACGGTGGCACCGAGGAGCTAGCACCCCAAGCGGATCTCAGCTTTCTGCTGCAGAACTAGGTTGAAAGTCGAGCAAAAGGAGTGAATTAAGGAAAACATTGCAGTTTATTGTACATATGCACATTTATAATTTGTTTTATTCTGCAATAACAACAATTCCTATACGTAAACAGTACATACACAGTAGTTGTACACTGTGACTAAATGTAAAAAAGTTTTGACGTGTACTATGCCTAAGAAATTTTGTAATAAATTAATCGGATTTCCCCTCGTAATCGTAATGATAAGAATTTGACTGGCAGACTTCTTATTCGATGCTAAGCCAGATGTGCTTGCAAATGGTCATATGAATAACATGGAGAAACTAACAATGTAAATTGGCAAGCACTTAACAATATATTTTATTTACAATGGGTTTTTTGTTGCCACAAAAACCCTGATAATTAGCAATACTTTTCGATTGTTATTTTGAAGGCAATTTTCCGACAGAATTATGGTTTATACTTTCACTTAGCCGATATTAAGACCTAATATTTAACTTTTTAAATAGGAATATAGTCAAAGTAAGCACTCCCCCAGTTGGACCAGTTTTTCTATAGTAACTCCTTTTTGGCACACCGTTTTTGAGAGAGCCCATTTACAGGGATTGTAACACTTTGAGGCAAGGCGGCATCTGGTTATTTTCGTACAGCCCATCGTTCGTTTCACTTAGATCGTAGTAGTATAACACTTAGCTTAACTAGTCGTTTAAATAGGAGTCAACTTAACTACTAGGAATCTTACTTACGTAACTTACTAGGAATCGTTAATAGAGATATGTGGCGTATGCTAAGTATTTACATGCGAAAATCGAATGTCTGTTGAATGGCTCGAACAAGTGTCCTACATTTGTCCTACGAGTTTTGGAGGCTAACACTACGTTATGGTAACTACTAACTAACTAATTGCTGTCTACCATTTTGAGCATTGAAAGTTTCACTTTAAAGCAAGCAACAACGGGAATCGCCCAGGTCTAAACACTAAGTTCGGATTGAGATAGGTCCGATGTAGGTCTTATACTTGGGTCCCGGTCCCGGTCCCAGCTCAATCACACGGTCATGTACATATGGAAATATCTTAAGAAGGAACTGATGATATAACAGGCAGGAGCAGGAGCTGGATAGGAGCCTTCGGATCCCTACTATTTGTGTAGAATACTTTTGTCCTCGTAGCGAATTATGGCGTCGCCGATCTGCTTGCGCGACGCCAAGTGGATGCACTGCTCCCGACCGCAGCTATCCGGCACGCTCTGCGGCAGCGTTCCTCCGCGAGCCAAGTGGTTCCGCACATTCTGGCCGAAGCGCAAGTTCGGCTCCACTCCGCGCAGTATATGCACCGAGTGCTGTGCCGCCACGAACATATCGAGGATACTCTCCACGCCCGGAGGTCGCGTCTCCTCGCCGGGCTGCAGCATCAACTGGTCGATGTCCAGGTCGCTGCGTATGATCGGCAGTCCTTGCGGATGCAACAGCTTGCGAGCTGAAGCGGAATAGCCAGTAAGTAAACGTTCAGTTAACTGGAAGAGCTCACTTCACTCACCCTGGACATAATCCCGGCTGTAGAAGGCGATCACGTCGTGGTTGTGGCGATCGAAGTAGCCGCTGCTCTGACTCACGTCGCAGGTGTCGCACTCCCGGCAGAACTGCGCCCAGCGGCACGGGTACATTTGGAAGCCGATGGGGGCGTACACCTGGAAGCCCTGTATCGTGTTCATGCGCACGCGGTTCAGAAAGTCCGCCTTGAAGATCATGCCCGGTGTGGCCAGGAGCACGAGGGACTCGAGGCCCAGCTTGGGCAGTGCCAGGTCCGCAACCACCAGGCTGAGCAGCTGGCGTGGTCCATACATGGAGGCGTGCAGCAGCCAGCCCTGCGGATCCACCGGGTCGCTCAGCTGCTCCGGCAGCCGGATGGACACCCAGGCGATCCGGGAGCCATCCGTCTTGTACTTTGAGGACAAGTCCAGGGCCAGCGTCTTCAATGCCTTGAAGGGATCCTCGTCGCCCTTGCTGGGCGAGTCCAGTCGGTACATGAAGATCTACGAGGTGGAAGAGGTTACAGTAATCTGCTTTTGAATTGGATAGTGTTTTGAGCTCACCAGCAGCAGGAAGGTGTTGTCCTGGTTTTGCATGCATATTCTTTCGTACTGCTCCACAAACAGCAGAGCATCCGGCACCTGGTGCTCAAAGGCGGGCACCAAAATGGCAATCCTCGTGCTCTCCGTGACGTAGGGCGAGGGAACCACCTCCACGCGACCCAGAGGCTTCACCACCTCGAAGCTCTTGACCACGAGCCGGCGACTGCGACCCGAGCCCTCCTGCAGATTCAGATGCAGCTGGTAGTCCATGCCACGTGTGGCATCGAACTTCCGATAGGCACTGTGCAGGCTGTGGTAACTCAGGCGCGGATGCTTGAGGGCGGCATACTGTAGTGCTATCTCCAGCACCTTGGCAAAGTCCTGAGCCTCGATCCGCGTCAGCGGCGCCAGCGCGTGCTCCGCATTGCCGTTGGGCAAGAAGCTGTGCGTCCCATTGAGCAGCTGCCACGTGAGGATGTCGTGGCGCGTCTCCGGCGCACTGGGTGGCGGCATTCCCAGCGGCCAGCGGATCTCCAGAATTTTGTTTGAAATGCTCCCATTGGCAATCCGGTACGACTTCTGCTCCAGAGCATAGCCCCGCTCCTGCACCTTCTCCAGGTGGTGCTGCAAGCAACAGGGGTAATATTAGCAATCATTGATTTGCTACTGGCTTCTGCTGGTCGGCTTACCTTGGAGTAGTAGGCATGCAGTCGGTAAAAGTCCTCCGGCGTCTGGACGGGATACACGGTGCTGGCGTTGCGGAAGGCCTCCTCCTTGGCCAGTTCGCTGAATTCGCGATGACGGCGGCCCGGCGCATCCAAGGCGTAGCTAAACTGCCGCATGCCCTGCAAGCCAATAAAGATACAGATACATGAGTGAGTTGGACATGGTCAAGGTCAGGTTCAGGGCCAACGCTCGATTCCGTGGAAGGAAAGTCGGGCTGTGGATCCCACGGATGTGGCTGCAGTGCCACATGCTGGCAACAAGCGATCCCTTTTACGATCCATAAAAGTAAAATAAGAGAACGAGCATAATTAAATTAACAATGTCGCGCTAATGGAACAAAGATAGCCCATTCGATTGTGGATTTGCCCACATCTTTGGCACTTCTTTAGTCACTCGGCGCATTTTTACCCATTCGGGCAATTTTTAATTGGCCCGCGCACATTAATCAATTCCCCAGCAAACTGCAGCTTTTGAAGACGCCGTTGAGCAAACTCTTTAGGCCAGTTAATTAAGCGAAACACTCCGGCAAACAATCTTGCATATCTCCGTTTTTGTTTAGACAGCTGCAGTCGAAATAAAAACATGCAGCACGCCTCCCATAATTAAAACAAAATGATTTTAGCAATAGTAAATTGAACTGAAACATCGATTTTATCGTTATTATTTGCTTCATAATTTACTATTGAGCATTGGGAAACTATACTTTAACCTATGAATAACTGCAAATATTTTACAGATGAATAATATTCTTGAAGTTGAAAACAGTTAATATGTTATCAACAATCTGCTGATTCCTTAGAAAGATGACGGAATAAACACTACATTTCAGCTGAAATATACACATCATGGATGGAATTTAGTGTGCCACTATAATCAGCACTACCAAACATTTTTCTGCAGAGACCACACATAGGACATTAATCATTCCATGCTGCCCCACCGCATAAATAAAACGCAATCCAAACAAACCAATCGAAATCAAACGAAAGGAAAACTAACATCTCAACGGAAAGAGTTCCATTTACCCTGTAAATGCTTGGCTGTTTATGCAAAAATAAGCTGCGTGTTCAAATAAACAGAGCTATAATCAGAAATGATAATGAGTAAGACACACCCACCTGCACTTTCGATTAGAGGAAGTACAGTGTTTAGTATCGGAATAGGTATTAATTAAATCGAAAAAATACACACAAATAAATTAGTGACTTTAGTAAATTGTACCTTTTCAGTTCAAGCTTCATTTTCACAACATCAGAATGATTGAATCAACTGATTTCTAATGCCGCACGTACTGCAGGTTCACTCCAATCTATAAGTTTGCATGCGATACAAATAAGTATCTCAAGATGTTCTCAAAGTGGCTCTCAAACTGTCACGACTCAAAAGTTAGCATTCACAGCAGTGCCACGCCCCCCGCGCACACTTGCTCGCCGGCAAAGAAATTCTGTGTTGCTACTTGGAAATTAAATAAACTGTGTTGTCCATCAACTGAGTGATTCTGAAATTAGTTACTCATCTGCTCTTCGCGAACAGAGGCGCACGAAACTTAGATGCTTTGGGGTCAGGTCTGCAGATCATTATAATCAATACCTACACACATGACATACATATATCGATCAAACAAGCTCCTTAGAGAAGAAAGTGATAACAACCCCTTCTCAAAGCATCCAACGTACGCCACTGCGCAAAAAAGTACTTTTGCTCGTTGTTGGTGCTTTGGTCTTATTTTACTCGGCTTTTCAGGGTCAATGTGCAGCAGAGTTGGTTGGGTTTTCGAGCAAAAATGAGCAAGGCTAATTTAGCGGTCAGTAATTATTGTACTAACGTATACTGTTAATTGTAATTGTTTTAGATTTGAGCAAATGTCAAACTGCTTTTTATTGCTCAAACGTGAAAAAATCTATTGGATTCGAGAAAAATTCCGAACCGGTATCTCTGGCACTTTGTATCAATGAACTGATTTTTTTCGGCCAAAGATCAAGATACATTTGTGCGTCTGATTGTCTGCTCGTCCGTTTTTTTCTTGTTTGAATAAATAAAACGGCAAATGGGAAGCGCGCACTGAATTCAACACAAAAAGATTTGATAAAGCATACATGTGTACATATGTAGAAGGGACCCATAAATTGCATGTGTTTCTATTCAATTTTGTAGTGTTTTCTATCTAATGTATAGCATACAAGGGTTTTATTTCCTTATTTCCCTCTGGGATCGGCGACTCACCTGAAAGCTCTCCTGGCATCCGGCCACCCGACTGGCGTACTTGACGCACCGCCCGATGTTGACACTGTGGTCACTGGTGCTGCCGATCCGGACGCAGCGCTCCAGATTGTTGCGCATCTTGCGGATGACGCTGCTGCTGAGCAGGATGCCCGCCTCCAGGGAGCAGTAGTTGCGATCGCTGGCCCCGGGGGCCTGCTCCTCGTTCGCCGGCGGCTCATTCGACTGGCCATCGACGGAGGCACTGCCACCCGGAGGATCGAGACCGATGCGGGCGCCACCCATGTACAGGTCAAAGGTGATGCTCATGTGGTAGAGCAGCTTCACCAGCTTGCGTGCATCCACGTAGACGGTGTCGGGCACCAACAGGAAGTAGTCGTACTCATCCAGATAGTTGTCCGCAATATACTTGATCACGTGGAACGGCCTTCGGCTCTCGCGCGTATCCGTGAATCCCACGATGTTCTTCAACTTGTAGTTGGTCTTCACACTGTCCGCGTAAATGAAGAACTTGATCTTGTTGACCAGGTGGGCGGTGGTGCGGTTGAAGGCGGTCGCAAAGGTGTTGATGTGCTCCTGCGAGGTCATCACCCCGATGAAGAGCTTCTCGCGGATCCCCAGCTCTGAGGAGTAGTAGCGCGGCCGAATCACATTTTTCACCTGCCGAAAGGGAAAACATTGGAGTAATTAGTAAAATGCCTAAAGCAAAATTCAAATGTTATTAAATATATTTCTTATATTCAATTTATTTCGGAATATCTGCAGTACATTTATTTATATTTTGAGTATGATTTTCATTGGTAATCATTAAGAGTTCTATGAGTTCTCAAACCCCTCCATTCCCGGGAATCGTGAACCACATCTCTGCCCTGATCTTGAAAGCATATCCAATGATTTGGGTTGAATAAATGCCTGATATCTAAGTAGATCGATCTGTTGGTAGGGGAATACTTCTTCTAGAATTACCGAGCATTTTACGTGCCTCTGCTTGAAAAGCTGATTTATTTTTAAAGCGTACCGGATTCCAGTGAAAAAAGAGACTTCATTTTCAAACCATAACATGGAAGGTAAAGCAAGCAGACAATTCCGAGCAATATCCCAAAACCGTATTGTTACTTGTGGCTTGAAGTTCACCCACCAATTCCGATTAGGACGCAAACTGGCCAGTAATACGAGTATGAGTAGTACTATCTCCTGATATTCACCTGCCTATTTTTAGCTGCTGACATGCACTCAACCATACAAAGTGCGTTAAGGGCCTTATATCTGCCCAATTACATCTATGCCTTCACGCTTAAGTACTCAGAACGACTAACTCGTAAACCGACTCTTCTCAAGTGGTTCCATTTCTCTTTGACCACTTGAGGGCACATTTTAATTCGAACTTTTACGATTAGATGACTGTTCAAAGTTTGGCAGCACAATGACGAGGAATTCCCCCTCGAGAAGCTATTTTATCCACTATCTTGTGGTTATGACTGAGCTACAAAAATATACCGATTGCGTTTCCCAGAATGCCTAGATACAATGATAATAATGTCAGGTCATGGATTTAATACCATGTGATTCCAGAACTTGACAACTGGATTCTCTGGGGACGTCGGAAGAATATTTATTATTATTTGCAATGCCTTAGAAGCCACATGTGACTTGTCGTTAGTTAACGCTATTAAGCTTCCTTGGTGTCATTAAATATTTAAATTAAATCATTATTTCCATAAGTTCGTTTCGCATGAAATCTTTTATTTTACTTATATTACTGAAACCACTTGTAAGTATACACTTTTATTGATTTTCAAAGTATTCGCTTCCATAAAACTGCTAACTTAAATTATAGCACCAAATCTTTTAATGGTTTTTGCCTTTTGTTTGGAATTTAATGGAATTTTAATATTGCCAGAATTTCGTGGAACACACTTTTGTGCCGCACTGTGCAAAGTATTTTTATATTTTTTTTGAAACAGACACAAATTTGTTAACACACTTTTCTTGCCGTTTAAGTGGGCGTTTAACTGCCCTTGGAAATTTGCATGTCTGCCAAGCCCGACTGGGTAATTTACGTACTGGCCATCTTAACCCGCTGTTGACCCAAAGAGATGCGTGCAAGGTGGTCACTCCTCCCGGTTCTCCCAACCCCCAGGCCAGTGACTCCACCTTGATTTCCAACTGAGCTCGTCGAATAAACAATTGCCAGTTGCGCAAGCACTTCGAACCAACTCGCCGTGTTATTTTGGCTTTTTATTTATTTATTTTTTGTCCAGGTAAATGTTGACGGTGCGCTGGTGCAGTTTACAGGAATAATGGCTAATTAAAAATCATTCTTAATAGATTTTTAATAACGGCAAACAAGCTGGTTTCTGCGTGTTTATATGGCATCGTAAAGTGGCCCAAGTGGCCAGGGTCAGTTTCGATAAGAATAACTTCATGTTTCGAGGGCAGCCTCAGGATTTCTCATATTTAACTTATGATTTTACGCAATCCGCTTGTTTTGGAATCTTAAAAGATCTGGAAATGGAACTTTGGATGGACGCGGTTGGGAGTTGCTAGCTCGATGAGCAAATACGCTTGTCTGCGGTGGCAATTAGCAGTGATCACCTTAGTTATATTGGCAGAGAACAAAATTGAACCGCCAATACAATCAATACTGGTTCTTTATCATTGAAGCGGAGTACACATAGTGAGAAGCATAACTATTATAGCGAGTACTTTGCTTTCTAACACTTCAATGTGCGACTTTTCTTTGCCAAGATTTTTCTCAGTGCCGAACCAATCAAAGTCGCGTAAAGCGATCGAGAAACCCATTTCTATTCCGATTTAATTGACTTGCAGGCGGTGCAGTGGCGAGTATCTCGAATAGAATAGTTTCGTATGCAATCGCTGCAATCGCTGGCCACTTAATGGGTCCATGTGGCGCTTTAATTACCGCGCTGGGGTTACAGCTTGATCCCCCGATCCACAGTGGATCGGTTCAAGATCTGACCTTGCGCCAATCCCACAGATACGCCCGATGAAAAAATGTGCAGGGGAGGGGATTGGCCGCACACGCACATTTGCCAATCATCGAATGTGTAAATATCGCCGAAAGATAAACCACGGGTAAAAATAACAGCCAAAAAAAACACCACATCCATTGCGGCTAAGATCGCTCTCGAGATCTGTGCCTGTTCGCTGGGATATTTTGTAGCGCTTTTGGGTAAATAAAAATGCTTTCCAAATATGAATGGTGCGCGGAAAATTCAATGAATACACTTTTTTCGAGAAATCCACAGCAAGACAGTGGGCCCTTTTCTTTTATTTGGCTATTTTGTCAAGAAAGCGATTTCAAAATGTGTTGGTTAAATCGAAATTGAAATCAACAATTTGATTGTATAATACTAAATATCCTAAGTCAGCGTGGAAATAAGAGAAGTTCTTCATTACAATCAATCATTCCCTGTGTCCAGAGAGCTTTTTATTTATGGCATTCATTATCATATTATCATATAGAAATGATTAAATTGAGAGTACTAATTTCTTGCTCCACCACTGTAGCTGCCATTTGAAAAACTTTGTCGGTTTTTGGCAATTAGGTAACAAGGCCATGCCTGGCATAAATGTGATTCACTAAAAGGTTTGTTCACCTGCACAACGAGTTCGCATCTAAGATCCAAATTCCCCACATCCACCTATACATGAAACACACATTTTCGCTCGAAATCGTTTATAAATTCTCCCGCCAGTGGATAAATTTCCGCCGCCGATCGAGAAAATCTTGTGCGGCACGTGGCCCACGCAGTTTTCTATGGCACAAAGTTGAGTTATCAACAGCCTTGTGACGTAACATGATGACAACGGAAGTGGGCACAACTTATTGACGACCAGAACGAGCGCGAAGTGAGCCAACTGGCTAACCTCCTTATCGAGTGGACTCTCTTATCAGTAGATATGGCTAAGACGACGTCACCATGCCTCCACTGGAATGGTAACAAAAGCCAAAGCCAAAGCCATAGCCATTTACAATTTCAATTTCAATTTTCATTCCACAAAATTTAATTAAACACGCACACAGATAGGGCATTTTTTGTTTGTTTACTCGGTGGCAAGCCGCAAACGCAACACTTTCGTCAGATAAATAGGAAATAGCGCCATGACAATCTATGCTAGAAGCCCCAACTTGGATACATAGACGTGATAAATACGAGCAACAGGTGATTTGATTAAATAGGGGCATATTAATATTGTTATTTATTTGAAATGTGGCGAAGGTCCACAGTATGTATGCCTTTGTTTTAAGAAACGAGCTGTATATAATAGCATAATAATTAATGATCCAATGCAATCTTGCTATGTTTGCTTTCAATATAGTAAATCACATTATTTACGGGCAGTGTCGCTTAGCTGTGAATCAAATATATGGCTTCCTCTTAAGTTATTTATTATTACAACCCCACAGCGGGGAAAAAATCACTCAATGCCCATCGAAGCCGTGAATTTGAGCATTTGGGAAATTGAACCAATTATATCACAGGCATTTTGAGAACTGTGCACAATTGACAAGAATTGGCCTCGCTTTCGGCTCGATGAATCAGTTAGGAGGCCAAACTTGAACTTAGGACGCGATAAATGTTTACAGCGATTATAATGGCCCTCGTCGTCGTCGGCTTTGGGTGTAATAAATCTAAAGATAGCCCAATGGGTGTATTATTTTATATGGCCGACTACTTAAGGTGTGTTTGCTTTTTAGGCGAAGTGCGAATGGCTTACATCTGGAGCGAGTAAGTCACTTAATACACGTAAATGTTGATTCAAAAACTTAAAACAAACACTAGTTTTTATATTTATCAGCCGAGCTTATTGAGTTTATTTTAAGAAGACTCGATTCATTAACTCTGCCATTCAGTTTAAGTGATCAATTAGCTGTTGTGTTGCCGGTACTATTAAAATTATTCAATTACTACACTACGCTATTTAATTGCAGGCTAATTATTTTACGATTTTATTTTATTAAATGGTTACAAACGGGTTTAATACGCAATGCTGCTCTACTTACTTTCGCAAGTCGAGATCATTTTAACCATTCATCTTTTAGAAACAATTATTTTGGGCTTACAAATTCTACGCACGATTGACCTTTAAGCGCATTTATCCGCATTTAAAATCAATTATTCAAATGAACGGATCAGCTGTTGGTTACCCCTCCGTAATTGTTTCAATTATAAAGTATATATCGAATCGCAAGTGGATTTTAATTACACGTTCGCAGTTTTACAGCTCAAATGGGCGGCTAAGGGCATCGATAAGTCGAGTACTGTCCAATTGCATTACCCCTACTCGAATTGATGAGATTTAGATCCTAAGAAGTCGAAATAATAAGGGTGTAACTTGAGATTCACTTCAAACTCAAACGATTCGTGATGTGAGACTTTGAGATACAATCCAAACTAGGGCTTATATTGACGGATCTAGAGTCGACACCTTTGCAGCGCCACAAGTAAATATTTGTGGTGCCCCAGAGACATATGTATGGCATACGGATCAGGTACATACTACATATATAGCATATGGCAGCTGGCAATCTCGGCTCTCCAGGCTTTTCACATTTCCAGCAGCGCCGTGCAGCTGCAAATTGTATTGGATTGGACAGAAATCTTAATTGGGACAAGTACGCCGTCGACCAGACACCGAGTTTTTCTAACGCCCGCGGGGGAGGAATACGACTACAGATCGTCTGGTCTAGTCCGCAGCTTATGGCAATTTATTGGGGCCGCATCTGTATGGCACTGCATGTACAGTCTGCCTCCGAATAAATGCCTCGAGCCTCAGACTTTAGACCGGAAATGCGACGCGCTTTTCAATTAAGCCCGCCAAGATGTTACCATTCAGCATTCACTTCTGAATGATCCGTACGATCTGGGTGAGTTCGCTGGCAAAAGTGGGAATGCCCACAAACTCCAAAACAGATGGTAATTGTACTGCTTCCGCATGAAACATTTCGTTCTAGGCAACTAATGAAATATTTGCTACAGCCTTTGAAAGTAACTACCATTGCCGTGTATCGCCGATTTCCACGATCTCAATCTATATAGATAACCTACTAATAATACGTCAGAACGCTTATCATATAGTCAGTCAAGTGTCTTAATATATAATGGGTGGAACAGAGGCAATTGAATGTCAGCCTACTTTTAATTTGTATCTTCTTTGATTCAAGACTATCGTATTGTTACATTTAATGGAAAAAATGGAGTCATTTGATTACAACGGATTGAATTGATCAGCTAGAGCGTTATCAGATGGGTTTAGCTGTTGATTTCGTAAAGCTTTGTTTCTGGATTCAGTTTCGGTTTCGATTTCGATTTCAATTAGAAACTTGCGCCACTTTGGAGCCGATAAGGCGGTATATATATTATACACTTAGTTTTATGCCTGCCCACTGATAGGTGTCAGCAAGAAAGCCAACCCATTGATCGGCCAAAAAATTAATCTTTTGGGTTTCAACGAATCTTTACTCAACACACATGGGGCAGCAGAATATAAAACCGAATTCTTCATCAGAAGGCGGTCCACTTTATGGGATTCGATTCGCAGGATGCATGCCCGTACCCATATACTTGTCGAACAGGTACTCGCCCACATCGTTTTGGGCCCTCTCCAATTGGCTGATATAGTCGGCCAGGATCTTCTGGCCATCCACCTGCTCCTGCAGAAAGTTGGCCTCTATGAAATCGCAGAGATTCGGATCCGATTCCTTGCCAGCCAGGGCGTGCAAATCGAGCAGATGCTGATTGACCTCCAGTTCCATTTTCAGGGCGTGCTTCAGTGCAGCCAAGCTGCTGGGGAAGCAGGGCAGTGGCTCCGGTACACTGCTCAAAACGATGAGACCACCCCGCTTGTTCATGTACGTCATGATCTTCTCCGCGTGCTCCCGCTCCTCGGCGCTCGCCTTCAGGAAGAATCCGTGCAATCCGGGTGAGCTGATATCCGAGCGATCGAAATGGTAGGCCTACGTGGATTGGACGTAGTACACTTATGCCCTATGGAACAGGATACCTTACCATGGCCAAGTACTGGTGGCATGCCTTCAACTCCATGTTAATCTGCTCGTTTAGCTTCTTCTCGCAACTTTTGGCGAAGTTCTGACGCACCAGCATGCCCATGTGGCGCCGAATGTTGCGGAAGCACCACGCCATGTCTTTTACTTTTTTTTTTAATTTTGTGGTTTTTTTTTTCTTTTTTTGAAAATTTGGAAACCTATACAATTTGAATTGAACGTCAAAACACAAACAGCATGTCTAAATGCCAACTGGGTCGTTTCGGACAGGCGTCGATTGATCGGAGACGATCCATCCAAGTCCGTCCATTGTTCTCAATTCAAATATCCAAATATCCAGATCTCCAGATCTCCACCTCGATCTCCATCGCGATCTGGAGGTGGTGATCCGCTGATCGGAGGGCCAAAGAACGGCAGGTTGGAGTTCAAAGTGCTGCCGGCTCTGATTTCACTTAACTTCCACTCAGAAATAGTGTGTACACAATCTCACTCGGTTCGTTCGCATCTGTGTACATACGTATACCTTGTGGATACAGATACATATACACATATAGTTAAATATCTGTGTCCAGATGTGTTTGCTTTAACTTCGACAAGTACACACGAACACGGACACACTAAGTAAACGCAGTTATTGTCTTTTATTAAGTGAATGGAAGACGACTTTTTTCCGAGTTTTGTATAATCTTGTTATACCCTTTCTCGCAGGGAATTAAACCATTTGTTTTCAACAAATTACGGAATGCAGGTAAAAACCAGAAATTTAATTAGTAAAAGATAAAAAACATAACTTCATACTTTGCATTGAGAATATATAGCTTTCTGAGTTTAGTTCAACGCCCTCTAGAGTTTAAGGGTATTGACAATTTAAAGATCCCCAAGCCAGAGATTCCAGACATTTCCTATGAGCATCCAGGTGGCCAAAACTACCCGCACTTTACTACAAACATCCACTCATTACGCACATTAAATGACCAACAAAGAAATGGTGACTCTTCAGCCATGTGCGCCCCATAAAAAGACAATAATAAAGATACAAGTGGTCATTTTCACCGACATACAGGAAAACGAACCGAAAAAAACACATAGGAGTTATGCAAATCATCGTTGAGCTGCACAAAAGCTACCTAAAAATAGCAAACAATTTTTGTTTGGACTTGAGTGGTTTCTAGGATAATGAAACAATTTTTCCCTATAATTGTAATTAAGTAAATTATGTACACCTATTAAGTGGATGATGACATATGATCTTGTATGTTAATAAAGGCAATTAACAATTTAAGTTAATTATAAAACAGGTTGAGTCACAATAAAAATTAAAACTCTTCTTATTCAATACTGAGCTTTAAAAGTAGATATATGAAATCCAAATGTAAAAGGTTTCGGCTGCAGAAAATTTCTAAAATATGTTACTGTTTGGCATTAAAGTTGTCTAACTTTCAAGAAAACTCAGTTAAATATTAAATTCCACTCCCGTAATGCCATCAAATTTTAAATTTGGACAAGTATGACAGCTTCAGCGACACTTTTACATCACCTCCAAAATAATGGCAACAATCCAGTTTGCAGCGTCATAAAAACGTGCAACAAATTATTAACATTTTATTAAGCTGCGGCGTCACAAAAAAATTATATACACTCGACGTGTTAAATAAAACTCAAACGTCAGCAGAGTAAAAAAAATCCAACATAATTTGCTGAACATGAGGTCGAAAATAGCGTACGGCAAAGAAAATATTTAATCGATTTGAGTTATGGTCGGAATGATGCTCTTGCAATGGGTATCAGACTTGTTCTGAAAATGAACTAAATTAAATGATATATATTGAAGTGTAAGAATAAAATTACATTTTCCAAATCTGTGCCTGAGAATTTGTTCTTGATTTTTGAATAAATATAAACGGCTAAAAGATTTTGTAAGTCTTACAGCGTATTTACCGCTCGACCATTCAAAATATCACGTGTTTCTTTGCGCACATTGTTCAATTCAATAAATTGTGCCTTCGATCGACATCGCGACATAGCAATAATTTACAATACATACGAACGGTGTATCGGTTAACATTCATTTACTTCTGCTGCTGGTCATAATTTCCAATGCGTTTATTTATTTAAATTTTAATTTACAAGCACCCGATCGTCTGGAATTTACAGGCGCAGTGCACTCAAAACTGTGAAATACGATCGCTAATGGGGAAATGAGGGCGGAAAAAAGCTGAGAACTTTCCACAAGCCACTCTAGATGTTCGGCTTTGCGCAAATAATAAATAAAATTCAAAGAGTGTGCGACTCTCTCGAAAGTCGGAATAATTTCAAGCTGATCAAAATCAACGCAAAATCGACACTGCATATTGTTGGCTTCACAGGCATTGTGGAATGGGTCATTGCACCCGGGAAACACTTTAAACAATATGTGAAACAAATGTTCGGTGCTAATTACAGTGGCCGCTCGGAAACTATAACTTGTTGATTAGAGGGTTTCTGGGCAGACTTGGCAGACTTCTATCTAATAATGGGGCACACGTGTGGCCCCAGGAAGTAAAAAGGCTTTCCTGGCATAAGGAAATGTTATGTTACTTTTCATATCTTTTGAATATCCAGAGGTTACATTTTTGAGTATTTCACAGAATGGAAATAAGGGATCTCGAAGCTTCCTTAAGATGGATTTCATGGCTATGGGATCTGTTCTTGTAAACGGCATTGACTTGTATGCAATTTTCTCAATTGTCAAACAGAAGGTGTATCTGTAAGATGTCTTTAGCTTGGATCAATCCTGGTTAAAGAAATTCAGGGTAGGCGAGTGTGGCGTTTCGGCGATAAGCAGGAAGGTCAATAAAGCCTTATCAGCACTGTCCGTTGTTCGATTATATACGATTATATATATATTTTTTTATATATATGAGACATGTGTGGCCAATGCCGTCGACGACTAAACATTTGCATTTCGTCTACTATTTCACAGAAAGCCGAGCAGGCGCCGCAAATCGAAGCGGATTGCGATTTGAGAATCACAATTTCGTGGATTTCGAGTACTTACGCTTTTTACCAAAGTCGGTACAACAATGGATCCATTAATAACTTCAGTCTAATAAGCATGCATGGCACTGGAAGCCCCTGATGTGTTTTGCAAATATTCACATACCGATTATCAAAAACGTGATTAATGAAACTAAAATTTGCTTGTATTATGGTTTTCGGAAAGACTACGATTTAGGGTAAAATTAAAAATTGTCCCAATATAAAATATATTATTAGCTGTATTCTCATGCGGAATTGTTAGTGGCTATTATGCAGAGTATTTTACCGAAAATAAAGCGCGATGTCGGATAAATTTCTTCATCTGCAAATCAACAAAGTTGTGGAAATTTTTTAATGAATAAGCGTCTATATCGAGTTGTAGTATTATATATACTATATTATTTAATATTCAGCGACTGCATCAAATGATGTTATTTAAAAATAAATACAAAGAAAACAATTAAGGAAAGTCAAACTTCCCAAACTGCTTTTCAGACGACTGGGAACAGTGGACTTACCGGCTTCTTGGCCGCCAGCGGCTTGTTGATCAGGTTCAAGTGGGGCTCGAACTCCTGGCCGAACCGCTCGATCAGCAGATTCTCGGCGGCCTCCTCGGGACACTCCTCCTCCCAGATGTCCTGCGGAATGTGCCAGCTGAGCAGGAGGCCCAGGAGCAGGCCGATGACGAAGTAGTGATTGCGATTTAAGGCTGTGACCGGTCTCCGCATGTTTTCCTTGCACCTTCCGTTTCCGTTCCCACTTGAACTTGACCGCCGGCTGTTCCCGATTCTGATTCCTGTCCCCGTTCCCGTTCCCGTCTTCGCCGCGTGCGAGTGAGATGGCCAATGGCGGGGATGTGCGTGCGAGTGTGAGAGTGCGCGTGCGAGTGGGAGTGCGTGAGAGAGAGCGAGAGAGCAAGGGAAACAGGAGTCGGAGTTTTGACCAATTTGTCATTTGCACATCTTCGCCCACTTGTTGCTGTTGCTTTCGCCTCTCTCACTCTTCGTTCGTTCTTCTCCTTTCGATCGCCTTTCTCCCCAGCCTGTTTTATTTTATTATTTTACTTTTTTTTTGGTTTCTTTTTTGTTGTTTTATTTTTGGCACTTTTCGCCGCTCTCTTTTTTCGGCACGCACTTCACACACACTCTTTGCGCCTTCTTCACTTCTTTCATTTTCGATACATTTTCACACACTAAAAAAAAGCGCGCGCCTTCATTACAATCGCTTCTTCTCTTCTATTTACACCAATTTGCGGCAAGATGCGGCGACCAGGGTGGCGGAAAAAAAATTAAAAAAATTCGAGCGGTTAAATTCGGCCCGGTTTTCCGCTGCACGCAAAGTAAAAAAGTAAACAACTGAAGTGACCGCCAGTGGTGGTTGTTCATCGATTGGCAGGGCCCTCGAACATCGATTGCAGTCATCGATTCTTAATATCGATCTTCGATAGCCATAGTGGTTTACACTGCGAGGTTTTCACGATGACATCTACCAATTCAATATTAAGCTAAAATATAATAAATAAATAGTATCTAGTTATTACAAGATAAACAATGAAAACGATATTACTTTTGCATATAAAATAACATTCCTGATGTCTTACTCATTTGTTTTGTATTTAGTTCACACTATTAATTCTCTAGACTTTCGAGTTTGCAACCACTTTAATGGCTTTACAGTGAAATTAACGTATATATAGTGTGATCCCCTTGATCTTATAATATCTAATTTGGAAAATTAATTTATTAATGTGCACGGGTCCCCCTATTTCTTCGATATTTACTTGGCAACATAACCATCGATATCAGCTATCGCGAGTATCGCTTAAACATTTTCACATCTCAATTGGATATTTACCTTGCCGGTTTTGTTTTTATTCGAAAACGTCAATTAATGTTATCCGTAAGAACTCTGATTTTGAAATATAGATTTTTGTATTGATCATTTCTTTCCTCAATTTAGTGAATTGCAGCAATGGGCTTTAAGGGGTCGCTGGATTCTGGAAATTTCTTCTTTATCCATTGAACCCACATGCAGCCTCATCAGTTTTGGATAGATTTACTGGAGTATAACTCAGTAGGAAGATATCAAGTGGGAACTACTCCGACATGGACTTCGAAGGAAAGGAGGAGCCCAATGGTCTCCAAGTAGACGTTTCCTAAGTATACAAATCGTGATTCATATTAAAGTAAGATCAAGTATTGAATGCAACATATTTACGACTAAACTTGTAAGTTTAAAATGATTTGTTTTTTCTAGTGCTTCAAAAATGTAATATTAATATGTGAATCGCTATTATAAATATATATTAAAAGAAAATATGGCATGCAAGTGTGTCAAGAATCTTTAAATAAATATGCCTATGCATATTCTTTAATATACGTGATTTTTGTATAAACCAATGAGAACTGGTGCATCTGAGCGCGTGTTTACTGTACTGCCACTGCCTCTGCACATCAGCACCTTTAACACGGACAGTGTTACCTTTATGTGTGTCGCTTTCGGCGCGTAAAACCATTTTTAATTGCTTGCTCCACTGTCACTTTTCTTCGACTCTGCACTCCGCAGCCGCTGACATTGTAAAAGTTGTTTGCCATTGTTTTCACTTTGCCAGCGACCACAATTGATGGTCCGTACGGACTTGGCCCAAACAGCTCCAAACGCGTTGATCGGCATTTGGCCAGGAGATGCATCTGCCGCGAAGTCGGCTTAAAATGGGTCAACAGCAGCAACAACTTCAGGCCGCCCACCCCATTCATCATTAAAAAATGCCAAAAGCTGCATTTAATCCGCGGTTGCTGCGCACCTGCTACCTATTAGCAAATAATAATAGTAGGCTTTTTCGGAAAAGGTCCCTAAAACGAGGAAAAGCTTGGTTCTTAGCCTAGTCGCAAAAACAATGGAAGAGATACCTTTGCATTTTGACAAATATTTAATGTTTTAAAATTGCCCACTTGTGTCGGTTAAATAATTCGATCTACATCATTCCAGGGTATCAACAGGTGCTCAATTTCCACCTGTGCCCTCTGCGTTGTTGTGATTTGCTGCCGCGACGGCGCAGCTTTTGCTTTTGACACATTTTCGCGGCTGTCTCGTCGCCGCCGACGCTCCAAGTTGTCGTTCGTTTTATTTTTCTTTTTTTCAGCTCTGCTTGGTGGTAGTGGGGTTTTTCGTTGTCTGTAGTTTCTCGGCTCTCTTGGCGGTTGGTTTTGGGCCCGATCGATCAGTTAGTTGCTGACTTTGCGCGGCAGCGAGCGGTTTGCACTGCGATTGCCGAGCCGGTTGTCTGCTTTAAAGCCACTTGTCTATATCGCTATATTGCCGCTGCGGTTGCGCATGCGCCTCATTCAAATCGGTGGCACGAAAAAGGCCTTCAATTGATTTTTGTTTTTACCTGTGAGTGTGCAAAAGTGAAACTTGCGTTTAATATACATAGTTATTAAAACTGAAAACTGTTCTAAAACTGTTTTAAAAGTGCTGCTGCATCCACCCAAAAACATTAAGATCACAAATAGTTCTTAAACCTTTTTATCTGTTTAAATTGCTTGTTAAAATGTTCTGTAGTTACAAGTTGAATCGCCGTTTTTATGATAGCTTTACTTACAAATCAAAAGATTCTCAGCTTTATTGAGACGTACCAAACTAGAATAAATCAGAAAAATATCCAATTTAATGCCATTTTGTTGTTCAAGTTGCATGCGTGCTTTGTGTTGCCCACAAAAATGGCGCGGAAGTTGAAAAGTGCACACTCATCGAAGATCCGCGCATCCGCGGATTTGAGGATCTGCGGATCTGTGGCAATTCCCTGAGTGGTTGCTGGCTTTTATGGCCAAACCCGATCGAGAAGTTAATGGGGACCTTAAAATGGGCTAAGTCATGCACTGCATGAATTTCAATTGATTTCGCTATGTTATGTGATCAGAATGCCAAAGAGAATTGTAGAAAAATCTGTAACTAGCTTAAAACACTTAGTTTTGTAATGAATATTTACAATTCATAAAAGGCTCACTTCGTTTTCAGAGGTCACAGCTTCTGCAAAGACTAACAAGTTTTATGGTAACGATATTTGAAATAAGGTGGTTTTTTATCACAAAATGTGTTCGAAATGCAGATGCCTGTGGCTTTGACCATGATACGGATCATAAACTTCGTTACGTATACGCCAGGTATACTGTCGTAAACAATGCGACTATTTTCTGGCCGTGCACACAATGGATTGGCTCTGGGGATCTGTGCTCTGCTGCTTACGGAATGGGAATGGGAATGGCTATAATGGCTGGACGAGAATGGGCATTACGACCATCCGCCGGTCGGATTAGCGGGCAGCTGTGAAGTGCGACTTGGTCGTTAGCTGCACTGCCGTAAAGCCCCCGATTCCCCCATCCCAGTTGCGTAATCCGGGGAGTTTTGGGTGCTAAACGTGGTCATGCCATGTGCACTCTTCCCATTCGCAGCTGGCTTTCTGTGCGCCACAAGCGCGGATCAAAACTGGAGCAAATTAACCGAGATTAAGGCCCACAATTAGGTGCCCAATGTGAAAGTTAAGGCAGATCCGCAGATCGGCAGATCCGAAGATCCGAACGCCAGCTGGAAACCTGTTGCTTCTTTTTATTTTCTGTATTTAGCCGCTGGTGCTGTGGTCGTATTTTTCTTCTGTTTTTGCGCGCTGTATTGTGGCTCATCTGCAGCCATGGCCACTTTTACTGCACTCCCTCGGCCGCGGTTAAAATACGAGAAAAATAGCAAGAAACACGGCCAGCTGGCAAGCCGAAACTGGGAATACTCTGTAGCTAGATTTTCAAAAATAGCACCGCCAAAGAAGGGCTTCTGCTCTTATACATACAAAATGTTAGAACTCTTGATAAATTGTTTGAACGTTGAAAGGTGTTTTTGCAACTCCTGCAAGAACTTTTTCAACAAGTTGTAAAAGCAGACTTTTAAAAGTGCCACAATTTAATATCTTCTTAGTTTAAAGTGATAAAGCAGCAGTTTGGATTTTGATCTTGAGGCGTAGGATATAACTACAAATATTTAAATTGGCTGCAATGTCAGGGTGTTTGCAAAATAGGAGAAGAGGGGCTTGGATTTGGTTTTAGTTTCTGCTCGGGCTTGCCCACAAAACGCTTCACTGACCTATGCCAAGGCCCCGGATCAGCTGATGCCGCGATTTGCTCTTTTTGCACTTTTGAACCGCAAAACGACCACAACTCTCGCCGGCGAACAGAAATAGCGTATGCCGAGCAAGTTCAAGTTGGCCAAGTTTCGTTTGGCCCCTTCTGCCAAGCGATTTGGCCGGAAGTCTGCGTCGTGAGCCACTTAAAAATTCAAGAGCCCGGGCACTAGAGGTGATCTCCAGGCCATCAGACTGGGTTCACAGATGCAGCACGGAACAGGTAAAAAAAAAACGAAATGGCACAAAAAATACAAGATAATTAAACTGAAACCCAGCGCTTTCATTGTGATGACGATCAGTGCCTTTATCGTTGTGCAGCATCTTGGGTCCCATTAGTCGCTATCAGCGATGAAAACTGTTAGAAATTTCGAGAGCAATTTCAGCGCTCACTTCGATTCGATTTGATTTGATTTGGTTTCTTTTCGTTTCCGCCGAAGAACTAGGTTTCCATTTCTAGGGAATACGCTCCCAATGAGTTGACACTTTTTATTGGGTTGACAGCGCCTTAATTGCCAAAAAAGAAAACTACTCTAGAGAGATGTGCTTAATTAATTCCCAAATTAAACTATTCAATAGTGATAGCAAGCCTTTTATTTTGACCCAAAGCCACAGGCGAAATAAAAACCCGTTTAAAAGTAGTGTGATTCATGGACTCTTTTTGTGTGGCCAAGAAACGACTTTATCGAAATAGAACTGGGGCTCAAAAGCATATTGAAGTGCTATAATTAGCACTTGAGGAAATATTTTTAGCCAGCACATAATACTTGTATGATTTCCTGATTTCAAAAGTGGCTGCGTCTATTCTAATTTTAAAATTACTTGCACTTTTGTTTTTTTGTGCCATTTTTATGGAGCTCGACGTGTTCTTGCTTTTAATTGCTCAAAAGTCATTTTAAATCTGACCTACGCAAACTTCCATCTCTGCGCTCAACTTTTGTTAGAAGCTATTAAAACCAAACCCGAAGATGCATGCAAATTGTTGGAAACTCCGGTCATTGAAGCCACAACCAAGTGGGAATTTCTATGTCAAAACCCATTGACATTCGCGTAATTCCGGAACTTTAAAGTCTCAAATTACTCCTTTCAACCACTTTGCACGCCTGATTTTTCCGCTGCAGATTCGTTTTGACTACATTTTTGACTTGGCTGTTTGTGTTTTCGTTTAGCATTGAACTAACCGGTGATCAGTCGTCAACTGCCCCACTTGACACACATATGAAGGAAAAGGTATATACAGGTATTATTCGACTAAAATGTAAATAGTTTCCAGAGGTTTTTGAATAATTTGTACTTTAGTTTGTGTCTTAAATAGCACGCTTGTGTAGTTAGTCACAATACAGTTCATTTTATTTTCGCATCATCTGCCATTTGGCTTAAACAATATGGTTATGTCATTTTTTTCGGTGTGTTTACGAGCCCCGTTTTCTTGGGCGATGGTTAAGTGGAGTGGGTGGAGTTGTAGTTTCACGCAAGGTCCATTGCCACACACGCCACTTATTTGGTTTTTATTTTCTTTGGCCGGCATCGTCGTCTTATTTATTGGCTGTATGCATACAGTGGCCATTGAAATCGCACGAAATCGGCGGCCAAGTCGGTCCCCATGGAATCACTTTCACTTTGCTCACCTACAGGGTCGCCTCTCCAAAAACTCCGCTCTTGGCCAAAAACTTGCGTAAACTTTCGTGGTTTCGATGACAAATGGAAAATATTACAAAAAAAAGAAAACAATAATAGTAATAACAATAAATGAATGGGTGGCGAGCAGAGGGCGTGGAAGAAAGGTGTTATAGGGTACATTTGGCAGCTTTATTAGCAGGTTCGTGGTGCGTGTGTACAGGCCATTCACAAGTTATGGAAGCCTAAAAATAGGGGAAAAGGAGCTCACAGGGGGCCCTCCACCTTCGGTGGGTCAACGTCTCGTTTTTAAGTGGCCAAGACGCGGGGCCACGCTAAGGTCAAGGGACAACCGGCCCCTGACCTTCGTGGACAAGCCATGATGTCAGTTGGCGTCGAGATTGCCAAAGGTTTTCAATAGATTCGCGATTAGCAATTGCAAGCAATAAACTCGAGTTTCACGGCTAAGGCAATGGCCCTATGCTGCTTTAAAATATCGATGAACTTAATTACTTTTTACTGATGAAACGACGGGAGCAATATTTTAATTCGCTGCCCCCTTTAATACATCAAAATAATAGCTCCACATTAAGCGTTTAACGATTATGAAAGCTTTGATTTATCAACTAATCAACAAGGCCAAATTGAATATACCTCCTCACCAATGCGCAGTTTGTTTTTGGGTTCCCTATCTATAAAAGGCCCACTTTAATTCGGTTCAATACACTGCTAAATGCAAGTGAATTTTGAATGGAAACCCGATTAGTAGCTATCTGTATTCCCATGCCCACCTGTCCACTTACCAGTAATTGGCGAAATATTTGTCAATCCGTCCAGTCGACCGCATGGACACAATGATAGACCATTGTCTGGCCATCAACGCTGCGTATACGTAATGTGTGTTGCACGACTACGCCCTGTTGGCTGCCAGCTAATGGCTGGGCGTGGCCGATTCTTGGCCAGCTCTTGGCCTGATGCAATGCATGACTTCAATTTGACTGGGCGAAGTACAAAGTATAGAGGCGCGTGTCGTCACTCCCCATTGTTTTGGTCCGATTGCCCGATCCTCTCGCCTCTTTATTTTCCCGGGGGCTGTGAACGAGGTCACCTGAGTCGCCGGTTTTGGCACCTGCCACAGCGGTTCCGCCCGCAATGCTGGGAACTTGGCCAACCGGCTTCCAATGGGCCTCTTCAGTCTTACACAGGCAAACTTAAAAACACTCACTGCATATGTCATGTAATGAAAATAAAATGTATAATAATTAAACCACAACTAATATTAAAAAAAAATAAAAGAAAATAAATAAATAAGAATAAAAACAAAAAAAATAAATAACCAAAAAAAAAAAACAAAAAAAATATCTTTAAAAATACTGAAAATTTCGGAGTACCTCGTTGCTTAGATAATAAGTATGAGAAGCGCATAGAAGGGCGTGCATACAAATTTTAATTCAAAAAAAAAAAATTAAAAAAAAAACAAAAAAAATACTTTAAAAAATACTGAAAAGTTATGAGAACCTCGTTGCTTAGCTGATAAGTATGAGAAGCGCATAGAAGGGCGTGCGAAAAAAAAAATACAACAATTATACAACAAAAATAAAAAAAAAATACAAAAAAAAATACAAAAAATGTACAAAAAAAATACAAAAAAAAATACAAAAAAAAATACAAAAAAAAAAATACAAAAAAAAATACAAAAAAAAAAATACAAAAAAAAAATACAACAAAAAAATACAAAAAAAAAATAACAAAAAAAAACACAAAAAAAAAAACACAAAAAAAATACTTTAAAAAATACTGAGTACCTCGCTGCTTAGCTAAGAAGTATGAGAAGCGCATAGAAGGGCGTGCGTAAAAATTGTAATTCAAAAATATACTTACTTTCACCCGCTATCCGTTTTAATCTTTTTTCTCGTAAATAACAGCCGAAACAGTGCTGTTTTTTTTGTCAAATCTATTTCTATTGCCTTTGCAAATGTTTTTGGGACCGTAGCATAAAATATTAGTCAGCAGGCTAACAAACTCAACCAAACGTTTTGTGAATAGAAAATTAAGTTCAAATAAATAAATGAAAACATAAATTGCTAATTGCCTGTGTACAATAATCGAATGGAAGATATTACATCTGTGCTAGGAAATATTTCTCTGCGGTGAAAGGAGGCTTGAATTATTTAAAAACGTTTGGCGACGCCTTCAACCATTGACACGCACCCCCAGTCGGCATACCCCTGACCCTTCAACCCTTTCCCTATTGGTACTAATATCGGACTAATAGACCAGCGCGAACTTCTCCGGCTTATAAATTAAAGACTAACAGCAGTAAATTCCCTCTCTTTCGCCCTGGGAAACAGTTGGTTGGATACGGCGCCAGTGCTTTCGGGTAGCGGCTCAGTCCAGCCGGCGATGCCTTAGTGGCAGCTCCTGCAGATCGAAGAAACCACGCCACACCAAGATGCCCTATAACCTCTGGCTGCGACGGCGCCTCCAGCTGCTGGCCTCGCTGCTTTTCTGCTGCCTCCTGGGCTATTTGACCTCGGAGGCGGTGGCCAAGCCCACGTTATCCTTCAGTTTGCCGCAAGGACTGCAGGGATTCCCTTCGTTCCAGTCCTTCACCCAGCAAATCATCGAGCAGCGCAGCGCGCGTCAGATGAAGACGTATAGGTGAGTGGCTTAGAATTATGAGAAGCGCATAGAAAGGATCTGAGACTGAAGGTGGTCCATGTGGCACTGCAGCGTTTGCTAGATGAAGATGTGACTTTGAGTGGTTGTCCACTCCATCCGGGCTGGGATTAGCAGTCAGCCAACGAACGACTTAAAGCCTTCCGTCGTCCACAGAGTCCATTGCCATGGACGTCACGTATCCGCACGGCCGGCCGTCTGGCCATGTGCCCATAGCCGCCGCACGGAGCGAGCTATCACTCAAATCGTCTACCCGCACAACACACAGTTGGAAAACTATTTTTTTTTTACCTATAATTAGATGTAACACTTTGTCATGGCAATCGAAGGGATATTACAAATTTCACCGATTATATATTTTTCATTGAAAGTACCCAAACAATGGAAGTATTGCCATGCAAATTATATATGTTTTCTTTCTGTGCACTCTCTCGTTTGGCAGTGGAAAGCGGGTGAGCAACGACTCCCTCATCATGATATACTATCACGATCTGACCATAGCCGTAACGGAGCTGGGACCCCAGAAGTTGTTACTCGGCTGTGAGCTGATCGAAATCTAGTAAGTATACCTACTCAGCACTGAACGTAAAGAGGGAAAAAAATAATTATATTTAGCGAAAAATTAATAAGGAATAGAGAATTGAAATATATCAAATATGCGGAAGTAGCTTTTGTGTGATTTGCGTGAACAGCTGATCAGAGAGTCCAGAGCATATGCCCTGAATATTTGATCAGGCACACGACCAATCACGTGTATAAAAATCAATATTACGTAACAAATATTAAATCGTGCAAATATTATATGCCAAGAATGGTAAATGCTTTTGAAACAGAACTGTGCTCTTAGCTAGTGGGTATGAGAATGGCATAGAAGCGCTTACTAACTAGCTGTTCACTTTCCCCAAACGCATTTCCAGCAACGACAAGGAGGGCAAGATGCTGCTGGAGGGCCTGTCGCACTACAATCGCCCACTGGAAATCAAATTCGACGAGATGCTGAAGCTAATGGATCAGTGCGAGCACGTGGATAAGCTGAGCTACGCCTCCCGTCACAAATCCAAGCTGAAGGACGGGGAGCGCAGCAGTGGAGGCGACGATTCGACCGCAACAGGTGGAGCCAATGATGGAGTGGCCCTCAAGCTGGCCACCAATATCTTTCCGCGCAGCCCCTTCTCCCTGCTGAGTGGCATCATACCAGGTGCGGTGGTCACGTTTGCTCGAGATGATCCAATTTTATATGCACTATTACTCCGTTTTAACAGGCACAAAGTGGTGTGGCACTGGCGACATCGCAGAGACGTACAGCGATCTGGGCAGCGAAATGGCCATGGATCGATGCTGTCGACAACACGATCTCTGTCCCATCAAGATCCGAGCCTATCAGAACAAATACGAACTGATGAACGATTCGCTGTACACAAAGTGAGTGGAATGATCCTGGCTGCATGTCACAGAATGTCACATAATCCCTTTTCACTCTGCGTAGATCCCACTGCATCTGCGACGATATGCTCTTCTCCTGCCTGAAGATGACCAACACCTCGGCCTCGCAGCTGATGGGCTCCATCTACTTCAACCTGGTGCAGGTGCCCTGTCTGGACGGGCGGAGCAATCAGTACAAGTTCCGGGCGGCCAAGGAGGGATTCTGAAGCAGGGGAGCCGCAAATCGGGGGTTTCGGGGCTCAGGCCCAGTTCATTGTACAGGAGGTGGGGATGTGGATGTGAGAGATGGGAGTCGCTCTATTTATTGTTTTACAAACGTTGACGACGCCCGCTTTTTATTTTTCGAATATTCTGTTGGGTTTACAGTTAGCGTTAACGTTATCTAGGATAAGTAGAAAGTAGAATTGCAATCTTTTGTTATACAAATACGAATATAAATATAAATATATATATATATATATCTTTATGTTTTGATTAGCCGACTTTAATCGTTAACAACGTAAAAAAAAATGTGTATATGGGACAAGGAAAACACGCACACACTTTCTTTTGGAAATTCCGATGTCATATTTAACTACAATGCTTAACCTTAATCGTTGTCTCTCTCACAATATTGCACTAACAAAACAACGCTCAAAAAAAACAATTCACTTTATGTATATATATAGAATTTTGATACGCATTCACGGGAAATTTTCTTGCTATTTTTCGGCAGCGACACTGACTAGTCAAGTCTTTCTACAAATGGGTTGTCTTTGCTGTTCCGTTGCGTTGGGGAATCCCCAGCGATCCGCTGTCTCTTGTCGAAGTGGTGCGTCTAGGTACTTGGAAGGGTTTTCTTGGAGAGCCTAGAAGATGCTGGCCACATTCGGGCCCGGCTGCGAGTTGGTCGGTGTCGGCTGTGTGGGCCGGTCGATGTCCTGGTAGCTCCGCTGCTGGCTGGTTGGGAAGACCGATCCCGTCGGCAGTGTGCCGCCCCTCGTGTTGAACTCCTTGTAGAGCAGGGCCACGCTCACCGGTCGCAGTATCAGGTTGATGATGCTGAACGCAACGGCCCAGCCATCTAAAAGGGGGTGGTAGGTTATCAGTTATTAGTAAAGCGTCGTTAAGGATCGATTGCGTATGCAGTGTATTGATAAGGACGGCTGGATGACTTACTCATAAGACCGAAATGAAGAGAAATGCTGACTATATCAAAAAAAATGCTAGAAGCGTTGATGACGAGCGCCTGCAAAGAGATACGAAATGATATATCATGAGTGTGGGGGGAATGATTGGGTGGGAATAGGGCTCAACCACGGATGAATGGCTAACACTTAGTGTGTGGCTTGTCTTCAGAAAGGGAAGCAGCCTTTTAGGCTTTTCAAGAAAACTGTTTGAAATAAAATAAGATAAAAGCTCAGTGTGAGATTGAAAAGTGTTGTAATCTAAAACCAAGTAGTGGATATTTTGATATTTTACATATGCCTTGGATACACGTATCCAACGCCACACGTGCCCCAATTCTGATAATAATACGTTGGCTACTCGAATGGTCAGCATATGCTACAATTCAAGCAACCAGAGCCGGGAAAATCCCACACCCACTTAGCCCAGCCACTGCGCAGCCCGATCCTTGAGGGAACTGAGCTTCAAGTTGCTGCGAACCACAATTTACATATTTGAAATTAAATAAATTATGTTCATTGATTTTTCTTTTACAGTTTGGCCAGAGCGCGGTTCCAAGCGAATGGACTACCTTCCGGCTGGCCAAGCATTTGACATCGAGTTAAGTTGAACTGGGTTGACTAAGAGGCGTTGCTAATGGCTTTCGAGGAAGCAAACAAAACAAGCACCGTCGGCTGGGAATCCTCGTTAAATGGGCATCGCAATGCCCGATTTATACAGTACTGCTATATAGGCTTGTGGCCCCAAAATGGGAATCGCGTGTAGCAGGTCCTTCAAGGCGGCGAAAAGGAGTAAAGGTGGTAGCTTCGGGCAGCAGGATTCGATGGGAGTAGGTGGGTGCTGAAGTGACGCCTTCTCGCTGGACATGGTCACTTTTCGGTCGGTCTAAGGTCAAAGTTGAGCCATTCGCCCTCTTTGCTTACAGCTAGCTCATCTATTAATACACACATACACCAACTTCACACGCAATTTGCCAACAAAACAGGCCTTCAATGTGGAAATATTTGTTTTCATTGCATTATAGATATTTTGATTTCGGAACTGTACTTATGGTATTCAATGTTGTGATCAAAAAGTCATTTACCTTTTGTAACTTCAATCATTAAAATATATGTAATACCTAATCTTTCAAAATCTATATTTTGCTTGCAATACCTACATGGAACTACTATTTATTATAGAAACTTTTCGCTGTGTACATTCGACTTGAGTCCACTTTCATTAGCATACCTCCACGCGTTCGGATTGGGATTTGGTTCCGTTTTGCCTTTATTATTTTGGCCATGCCACTTGACGGGTTGAATTCACTCGGGGTGGAGCAGAACATAAGAGATTAAAGATCGGGCCGCGGGGAACCAGTTATGGCTCAGTTAGTCCATAAGCAAGCAAATTGATTGGCCATAACACCGCCGCAATTTTTGGCATTCGCCGAAAGCAGAACCAGAGTTTTCCCTTCAAAAGATGTAGGTTTGCTGCCAGTGAATAAGTGCCATACATATATGACGAAGTCCCAATTGTAAATCACATTGGATAACCCAAATGTGCTATCTTATCGTCACCAGAAGCTGGTTTTAAAGATTTAAATATATATGATTGTTCCCCATTCTCTACTCTTATCTTAACTTTGTTAAGATACAACTCGAATTTGTCTTTCTTTCTAAAACAAAGGTGGTGCTCATGAATAAATTGTAAAAAAACAGTGAGTGCATAATCATCATCCCAATCAATCATTGTTTTCATTGTTCTAATCTTGATTTTCTCGCTGGCACCTGATGCTAGTCGAACTATTTTAGTGAGAACATTTGTTATTTATATTTCGCATGAGTATGCTAATTGCCTATTGGCGCTTTTTTGAAGAACCGGTTTTGAACGATTTTACAAATTCCGTGGTGATATCAGTGTGGCTTGTCTAGCAGTTGATTAAAACCTCAGCACTGGAATCCACAGGGAAATACTAGGCGTCTATATTGAAATAATTGGATGAACGCAGTGCACTGCTCAAAAAACACACTTATCTGTATAGCAGGCCTATCAGCAATACTTTCATGACTCACAAAAAGCGATGAATGGAAAACTATTTGATATACATAACCAAATGCAATCGCGCTGAATATGAACAACTACTTATCACACTCGAAAATAAACTAAACTATGAATTACAAGTCATTTGTTGTAGTCAATCTCTAACAAGACTTAGCTATAAGCACGACTTTGTCAAACAATTTTAATGGCAACCATTCATAATTAACTTGTGCATGCTGCTTGGTAAAGTTGTGATACCCTTATATGCAGGGTATGACAAGCCAATTAAACGAATTGATTGAAGAGTCTTCTCAATTGCGTAAATCAAAACGTGCACTTATTGATCGCACTTACCGTTTGGATCGCTTCGATGGAGTCCTTGCTGTGAATCGACCAGAACATGGAGATCAGGAATAGAAAGTTGTAGAACTCATACGCCCCATGGCCCCAACTTCCTAGCATGGCATTCGAGATGAAGAAGAAGTGCACAAAGGCCACAAGCTGTAAGATGTAGAGGAAAATGGGGAAAATGAGTAAATGCAAAAGGGCAACTACATGTGGCTATATGGTTATATGGTTATATTTTCATATGGTCAGACATATATGGTTAACTGGTTAACACAAAGCATAATCATAAGCGGCTTAGTGCCAAGTGAAGCCCCACGAATCTGGCGGCGAAGTTGCCAATTGCAGTCACCAGCATCGTATCGGTTGTCATTTGCGGTTAACTACTTGGGGTGTTAATCAGCCAGCGACTGGCCATTAACCCATGGAGGCCCAACAAGTGAGAGTCGTACAGCCGCGGTACGCGCAATAGCAACCAGGTTCTCCACTTTTCTAGCTAACCTGCCTAAATGGTCGTAAGACTATAAGAATGACTGTTTCTAGCTAGTTACCAATGCTAACGATCACTATCACTTATTGACGAATTAAGGGACATTATTTTATTGTGCATATTTTCGCAATTTTTGTAAATGGCAATAAAATAGAATTCCCAGTTGGAATGTGAGCTTCACAGCGAGTTGAACGAGATGTGGTATTCCATAGAAAGACCATTATTTCTAATGTTATGAATTTTTAATGACGGAAATTACAATATATTTTTCTTGGACATAAAATTGAACAATTATAAATTGTGCTTCGTTATACCATTTAATTTTACTAAGCATTTTACTTACGCCCACCTCCGTTGCTTTTAGTACAGCTGAACATACAATGTCATTTGTTTGTGTTATCTTACATATGAGCAAAATATATTCACTTTCTGTCTTATTTTTACATATTTTCGTTCTAAATTAAGTAATTTATATATGCCGACATATAACAATATCTACTTTGAATGCAAAATAAGAATCCAAACACATGTACCATACATACACAAGGCTCTACAAAAATTGTTATCTACTTTGCATGCCATTTCCTTTTTTCCCCAAATGTTCCATACGCCCAGTTTCATAATTTTTACCGCTTCCGTAAAATCTGTTATCTGTTTTATTTGTTTATTTGTGCCACACAGCAGTTAAACCGCCTACTGCTATTATTTTGACCGAAGCTGTACCATATGTTATCTATTAACCATGCTTATTCCTGCCTCGACAAATAAATGAGACTCTTTCATTCGCTTCTGTACCATAATTCTCAAAAATCGGCAAAATCTGTATCTTTTTTTTATGTCAAATGTCATATATTTTTCTAGTCGCCCACTGCTATTTTTATGGCTGCATGTGTTTGGTGGGTGAGGGGTGGGGGGAAGTGCAGTGCACTGCTTGCTGGATACTGCAGAACAACAGCGGCATTTCGTCTCCCGCATCGCATGCACTGCTTGCTTACCTTCACACGCACAAAGGGGCTTCCCATTAGCTCGTTGAGGTCGGTCATGATGATGTCGCTCTGCTGCTCCTTCTCACTCGCACTCGTGCTAAAATGCAGTTATTGCAGCGGCTACCGCTCTCTCACTCCCACTCCTTTTGCTGCCCCACGCGGCGCAGACAACAGCAAGACACACACAAAAAAAAAGAAGCGCACAGCTGTTTTGTTATTTTCGTGTGCAACAATTTGCTGAAATCGTTCCACTTTGCGTCTATTTTCACTTGCAATTCACTTTCAATTGGTGCTAAAAGCGCAATTGTTTCGCTGTGTGAGTGTATCAGTGTGCGCCTGTGTGTGTGCGCACTTGTTGGTCTTCCTTCGTTCTCCAATTGTTGTTGTTATTGTTGCTGCAATATTTGGCAATATCTGTTGTTGCTGCCTTTGCACGGGGGCGTCAACAATACAGTTTGAACAACGAGTGGTCACAGCTCGACCGCAACCACTATCAGCAAGCCGGAAAAAATGTTATTTTCTTGTATTTTGTTTTTCAGCCTGGAGCCGACAGCACAGTAGCACGACCAATTGCAATTTAAATTAAAATTGGGATGTGTGGGCCAGTGTGACCCGCCGCTGTACCGCTGGTATAAGCCAGCAAACATTTCCGTGCGACCGCAGCACAGCGCGAGCTATATACCAAAATGTAGAGCAGCACTTCAGCGGCATGCTGCGTAAATACCAGATAATACCAAATGGTGGTATTTCAGATTATCTGCGATCTTCTTTGTTTGCGTGCGTGTGTGTGTGTGTATGTGTGCGTGAGCCGCTGATAACGCAGCTGATCGGGCGATTCCACCGAGAGTGCGTTGGTTCCAAGTTTTCGACTCGATTCGAGGAGTGCCCGGCCGCAGAGCATGGCCAGCAATTCCCCCACGTCCCAGCAGTCCAACAGCCAGGCCACCAGGATCACCAGCGACATGGTCAACCAGCTGCAGTCGTCGCTGGAAGCGAAGGTCAGTGGCAGCCCCTCCACCAACTTCAGACATAACCTTCATGTGTCTCCGGATGCACGCCCCATGAGATTGCTGCATCACAATTCACATCACACCGATCCCACCTACGTACATATGTGAACTGAAATGTATCTGTTTGCAGGTGGCGGCGATTCCCAGTGTGCCCCAGTGGCGTTCCCCGCAGCTGATGATCGTCTTCGAGGACGGTGATCTGCACTCAGCGCGCCAGCAGTTGCTCCAGTCGCTGCAGAATCCCTTTGCCGAGGGATCGGTGGCCACCTTGCTGCTGCAGGAGAGCATTGCCGATCAGTTTGTGGGCCTTGTGACCCAGGATCTGCGTCCGTTGTCCCAGGAGGTGTCCAAGCATCCGACTTACGTCAACACGTTGGCCAAGATCGATCAGCTGAAGGCCAAGACAGTCCAGGGCGAAAGCCTTAAGGCGGGGGAATCTCCCATCTTGGTGTACGACTGCGTGCACAGCTATCTGGGAAGTGGAGCCACCGGAGTGGTGACAGTGCATACTTTCCGCACAGCCAAGGAGGCCGGCGAGTTGGCCAAAAGGGATCCCCTGCCCTATGGCCAAGTTAGCCTGTGGAACGAGAAGCTGGGCTGCGCCTACGAACTGATACCACGACTGCCGAGCAACATTGTTGCCATTAACTGCTTCAATCCGGACGTGGACCCCATTAGGGACTCCTTTGCTGCCGACCGCAACGATGTCCTTCTGGCCAAGAACTACCACTATGAATCCCTGGTGGTGAGCGGCAAGCGGAGGATCGTCGTGTTTCCCGTGGGCACCATCTTTGCCAACTGAAGAGCGGCAGTTCTGGACTATTCTGCACGATCAGGAACGAAACACAACCAGGTGCTCTTTTAGCCATACTTTAAAATACCTCTCTAAGCATTTACACAGTTCAATTGGAATTATGTCGAACTAATTTCGAGTTAAACAACTAGCCTTAAAACGTTTGGATAAAAATATTCAAGTGGCTACATTTTCATAGAAACTATCTGTTTTGGAAACCAATTAAGTTGCCACCATAATATTCCATTTGAATTGTATGAAGGTCCTCGAGTCTGAATTGTTTTTTATACTCTGTCAATAATTGTCCACTGAAAAATCTTAAGCCTACTTTTATGCATCTGTGGGAATTTGGGGTAGGTCTACGAATTTGAGGATGCAACAGGCATTTTCGGTGCGCATGCTCCAGAAATAGAAATCCTGCAAAGCAGTTGAAATGGAAGCAGTTAAAGGGCACACTCATACACTCTGGGTCAAAACAATAGAACCTAAAGACTTGGATTCAGTGAACTTAAAAATCGAATGAAACAAAAATATTCGCAGGGGAACTATTTAAGTGATAAACAAGAGTGATTTTCTTTAAAAGATACGCAGTAATCGATCAACTTAACCCTTATCGGTTTTATTGTAAACCCCAAAACACATGGAAAAATTTCCAGATGTACATAGATACAAAATTTGTGTGGGGAATTTAGGCCGTTGCTCATTTCTTTTGTTCTCTAATTAGAGCTTAAATTGACTTGCATAAAAAGAGCTTTGATACCTAAACGTTGCTATTGTGTTGGCCAGAGTTGTACGAGTGTGTGTGTGTGCTGGCAGCTACTTGGCCTTTCTCGCCTCATTGTTGTTGTAGTCAAGATTTTAGCACTTATCCCCTTTTTGATTTCGACCAACTGGACTTTTGTTTTATGTTATTGTTTTTATTTCCTTACAAATAGTACTCATTCAGTGCGAGCAAATTCACCATATCGCCGTTGATTACGTGTGTGTGTGTATTCGAATGCGGCTGTGTTTGTCAAATAAACTAGCTGTAACTAAACAAAGATAGTATACTTAAGTTAGTACACAACAATACATTCGGCACTCCACTCTCTTCTCGCACGCCGCCCCTTTCTCTGCCCGCCTCTCTCCTATTCTCTCTCACCCACTCTCTTTCGTTCTTGCGCCGCACCATTCACGCTCCACTTTCACACGGGAGAGAGCGAGAACGCCAAAGAGCCAGCCATTAGAGAGGGAGCGCGATGTGGTGACTCCAGCTGCAGGGGCGCAACAGAGGGGATCAACCCCCCAATCCCTTGGAAAGGCTAACGATTCGACAAACATGTAAAAGTGAAAAACACTTCATGCACATTTTGTCTGATCTCAGTCAGCAGATTATAAATCCTTTCTCAGTAAGGTTTTTTGTTGCGTACACTGCAAGAAAGTGGCAATTAAATTCACATTTTTGTGGTGCTAGCCAATTGCTCAAAAAAAAAAAAACATTTACGGTCTGTAGCCAGCAGAGTTACTGGTCTACCGCTAGTGTCTTTCACCAGAAGGTGTCTTTCCACTATAGGACCCCTCTGTGATTCTGACTACGCCCCTGCGCCCCCTCTTGTGGTTAGAAGCAACGTTTGCTGGCGCTGCCGCTGCCTAGTGCTTGGGTTTTGTTGTTGCCCGTTGCCCGTTGCCATTTGCCAGTCCGTCAGTCTGCGCTGGTTCCCGCTGGCGAGGTGAGGTGTCCGCTCGCGCTGCCGCTCCCGCTCCCGTTCCGGTTCCCGCTCACTCGGTCTCTTTCGCTGGGCAAGAAAACCGCTTCCGCCACCGCTGGCGATACAAATACAATTACCACTACAGCCGCCGCTCCGGCAGAGAAAATGCGCTGGCAGTTGCACTGCCAAACGCTCAACAGACGCTCCAAGAACGCACTCCACCAAACGCCCGACCTCTACAATTAGAATCCACGAAACCGAGTAAAGCGCCACGATGCCACCGCACAAATGGACGGACGAGTCGCGGGACGCCTCGTGCTACTACGAGGATACGGCCGCATCCCGCCTCCGCCGGCCGTCCTCCTCCTCCAACTCCTCCGCCTCGGCGGAACGCTCCGACGACGAGGCGGACGACGAACGGGAGGCGTTTTGCTCCGGCGAACGGCCGCTAATCCGCACCAGCGGCGCTGCGGAGGGTGAGTAGCTACAAGATACACAGATGGGGAAAGATATTTACTTAGATATAGCATTTAATTATTTCAACAGTATTACTTCTGCCTCATATTGTTTTCCATTAGGTTCGTCCTGGGTCAGTACCTTCATTGAATATATACACTTGGAATATCTGTATAATAAAGCAATACGTGACTGAAAGATACTTTCAAGTATTGTAAACAAAGTTTTGTATCTTCCACAATTCCCTCCACTTCATTTTGGAATCAGTTTATTATATTAGTGTATTATATTAGGATACATTAGGATTACTTGAGCACAGCATTTCACTCGTTTCTCTAATACAGTCATCTATGCCTATGTACAATTTATTTAATTTAGGGCCGAAGTTACGGCTTCTTTACATTTACTGATTGTTAGCCAAGTCAGAACTTTATTAAACAGTACACATCTGCATTTCAAATGGAACGGGGCGCATACAACTTTGTTGATGGTATCGGATCGTTATTTTTTTAACTACTTTAACTATCATTTAGATGTGAAATGAAGTTCACTTGAAAAGCAGCTCTCACAAACATTTCTAAATAAATAGGAAGCGATTCCTTAGTTCGATTGAGGCAACTTCGACTGTGGCACGTTATCATTTTGCATGTAACAACGTAGTTGTTATCGGGAACTGCGAGAACTTTTAAGTAAAACCGGAACTGATATCGTTATTACGCCTCCTAAACCAACTTTTACTAACCTGCCCTTCCCGCCTCTCCCCGCAGAAAACCATGGCTGTGGCCCAAAGACGCGCCACATATTTGGATTGATGGGCTTCCTGGGATTCGCCGTGGTCTACGCGATGCGGGTCAATCTGTCGGTGGCCATTGTGGCCATGGTGAACCAAACGGCCATTCCGCACAGCAACTCGTCGGTGATTGATACGGACACTTGTCCACTGCCGGTGCCCCATCACAATGGCAGCGATCCCAATCCGCAGAAGGAGGGCGAGTTTGTGTGGGACGAGGCCACGCAGGGATTGGTGCTCGGCAGCTTCTTCTACGGCTATGTGCTAACCCAAGTGCCCGGCGGACGGATGGCCGAGTTGTACGGCGGGAAGAAGATATACGGCTATGGAGTGTTGATCACGGCGATCTTTACACTCATTACCCCACTGGCCGCCCACTGGGATCTGCCGCTGCTGGTGTTGGTCCGCATCCTGGAGGGAATGGGCGAGGGCGTCACCTATCCAGCTATGCACGCTATGCTGGCCCAATGGATTCCGCCGCTGGAGAGGAACAAGTTCGCTGCAATAGTCTATGCAGGCTCCAATATCGGTACAGTCATTTCTATGCCCTTGGCCGGATGGCTGTGCTCCCTGGACTTCCTGGGTGGCTGGCCGTCGGCTTTCTACATCTTCGGACTGCTGGGCATTCTGTGGTTTATCGCATGGATGTACTTGGTGTACGACAAGCCCAGCGATCATCCCAGGATCTCGGCTTCGGAGCGAGAGTACATCGAAAGGTGTCTACAGGTGCAGAGGCTGATAAACCAGGACTTAGCGGAGCCGGAGGAAGAGGAGGCACAAGATGGAGTCAATCTGAGGACGCCGTCGGAGGAACCAATACCCTGGACATCGCTGCTCACCTCCGTGCCCCTGTGGGCCATCTTGTTGACCCAATGCGGCCAGGGATGGGCCTTCTACACGCAGCTAACTGAGCTGCCCACCTATATGAGCAACATCCTGCACTTTGACATCCAGTCCAATGCTCTGCTGAACGCGGTGCCGTATTTAACCGCCTGGTTCGTGGGCATTGCCTGCTCCGCCCTGGCGGATTGGATGCTGGCCAGACGCTACATATCCCTGCTGAACTCCTACAAGCTGTGGAACACGGTGGCCTCGGTGGTGCCCTCGCTGGGCCTGATTGGCATCATCTATGTGGGCTGCGACTGGGTGTGGGTCACCTTTATGCTGGCCGGCGTGGGCTCATTCGGTGGCGCTGTCTATGCTGGCAACCAGATGAATCACATTGCGCTCAGTCCCAGATATGCGGGCACCATGTACGGCATCACCAATTCGGCGGCAAATATCTGTGGCTTCCTGGCTCCTTATGTTATCGGGCTAATCATCAACCATCGCGAAACGCTGACCCAGTGGCATCTGGTCTTTTGGCTGGCGGCGGGCTTGAATATAGCCGGTAACTTCGTCTACCTGATCTTCGCCAGCGCCGAGGAGCAGAGCTGGTCGAAGACACCACACACACGCAACTCACGATCCCAGCGCGCTTGAAGCAAGCATAACTATACGCTATTTTAGCTAGATCATAAGCATTTGTGATAATTCCGATATATACACATATATCCTACATTTATATATTTGGGCTCATAGTATTCCGGATGCAGGACAAGAATATGGCTTCCAAAAACGAAACGAAACTAGTGCTACCGAATCGGAATGGATGTTAACTGTTTTAGTGTATTATATACGTGTATCATCCTTTTATATGGACTTTTGTTTTGCTAGGCGCCTTTTTTGTAAACAAGTATACCAATACCAACTATATATTTATATATGTATCTATGATATACACGCTCGAAGGCACGTAGATCTGTCGAAATAAACAGCACAAACATATCGAACTGTTGCACCTGATTCGAGCATTTTACTCTTTGACCGGCAGGTGGTTTTTTGGATCTCAATAAGTACTACTGTTTCATTTGAGAATTGGGACTTGTTCGGTTGTTTTATGCAGCTTCTAGAGTCTTACATTTTTAAAACACTTTTAGGCGTTTCATATTTTTGAAAGCTCGAAATAAGTGCATAATTTTAGGGGCGACCTGTCCATGTAAAATCATTGTTTTTTTTATTTTTATTTATACATTTTATTAATTGGAATTAAACAAGTTAACTGCTACCTATGTGACAGCTTTACCAGTTTAGTAAAATCATCGCGGAAAGATAACAGAGGTATTTAAGAAGTATCTAAAAGCATGGCTGATGCTGTATTCATATTTGTGAGTTTAAAGATGTAATTAGGCAATTTCGAAGCAATTGACAGCTTTAGATTCTACGTAGCTCTTCTTAGCTGATTTACACAAACATTTTTAATTTTAAGGATTCAAAATATGTAATATGATTTATAGAAACGAATAGAACACAGGAGTAGAACAGGATAAACTGTTACGCCTTGTTGTA